CGATGCCCCTCCTGTCCACTACTCCAGGCTGCTGGTGGCACTCTCGCTTCGCGTGGGCCACACCGGAGCCTGCCCTCCCTCCTGGCTAACACTCAGCGCCCTGCCCCCCTGCTCCCTCCAGCTGCGGTGATAGACGAGCCTGTGTCTCTGAGGCTGGCTGACTCCAGGCCAGGTGGTTCCCCCGCGTGTCTCCAGGTGCTCAGAGTCAGTGTTCCAGTGTCCATTAAACTGCAAGTGTCACATGCCTGGCGTCCGAGCCTCTCTGTCTGCTATGGTGACTGAGTCCTGAACCATTGTCCCCCTACACCCGCATGGGCTCCATGCAAGCAATGCTCGGAGCGTTCTAGCCCGTGCCCCCTTCCCTCCCTGGGAGCTGAGAGGGCTGCATGGGCAGATGCAAGGGGCTACAGGGCTTTACCCAGGGCACGGGACCACCAGGCTTCCTCCCAGGTGTCTCTGTACACTTCACCTGCCTTGTGCAGGCAGCCCATGCACCCCTGGAAGCCCCTGGCCAGGCGGCCCACTGCTCTGTGTGCTACACAAGGCCATGCCTTCCCCTCCCCAAACCAGACAGTTCCAGGGACGCTGACACACGGTGGGCAGCAGCAGAGGAGCTGAGCCAAAAAATAACAGGCCAGGGAGAAGGAACGAAAGGCCAGCCTAGGGGCAGGCTCAGGAGCCACTTAGCCCTTAATTGCGGGCACAATGAGACATCTGGGAACACCCACATTCCTGAGCTGAGGCGTCTCCCAGCACTTCCAAGCAGGCCAGAGCCTGGGCGCACCCAGGGCCACCCCGTGGGCTTAGAAGGAATGGGTTCCACACTGGGGACCAAGCTTGAAACTGACCAGCAGTGACACATCAGCATTCTGGAAAAGACAGGACGTCCAGTGGCAGGGAAGGGAGAGGCCTGAGTCAGAAGCAGGTGAAACCAAGGGGCTACAATCGGAGGGGTTCAGGGGGGAGTGGTTCTGGGAGTGAAGACAGCAGCCCAGAGCAACAGAGGGGCAGGAATTAGCAGTGGGAGCCTGGGGCTACGTCCCTTTGCCAAGTCTTCTCTCCTTGCTCAGGGCATGCATCCTGGGGTCACACCCTGGGCTCCAACCCCCATCCCCACCCCTGCACTGGCTCTGGGACCTCATTCTCAGCCACACTCACCGAGTGATGGTGAGAATCAAAAGAAATAACGCTTGTGGCTGACCGCCCACCAGGGGTGGTGCAGATTCAATCCCCAGTCAATGGCTTCTTTTCCATCCTAAGTGACCAGCATGGCAAGGATGATGCAGTTTGAACCCAAGGCCAGGCGCTAGAGAAGGGAGGTGCGGGTGAGAGCAGTGGGTGTGTCCACAGCCGTGGCCAGGGACCTGGGAAGTTGAGGGGCTGCAGACACCGGCCAGCATCCCCAGGCCTGGTCCTGCCCTGGTAACCTGTTCCCCATGTGATGAGCAGGGCAGGAAGACGGGCTCGGAGATATGGTCCCTGATCTGATGCAGCCAAGCCCAGTTCTCGTGGGCAGCTCGGCCCAGTGCAACTTTGTAGATTCCTCTGTGCTTTCCTGAGACCAGCTATGACTTCCCTGGACCCGTCCTCCTAGGGGCCGGGGGTCCTGCTGATGGGGCAGAGAGGCAAGCACCCTGCCTGGTTCAGGTGGGAGCTGGAACAGCCTCTACCTCCAGCCCCAAGAGCTCCCTGGCCCAACACAAGGACATGGAGCGGGCAGTGAGAGGTCCACTCGGGGCATTAGGAGAGCTGAGTGCTCCCTGCTGCCCCGCCCGCACATTTAGAACGAGAGCCACCCACTACCACCACCACCATCACCCAGCTGAGATGGCCCACGCCGTCCGGGGAAGAAACAGAACGTGGTCACCAAGAGGTCACCAGTCCAGCTTCCGACTGTGGCTCTACGGCCAGGAGACTCAGCAAGCTCTCCAAGCCTGGGTTGGACTGGACAGAGACAGAGCCCCCACCACCACCACCACCACCTGGCAGACCTAACAGCTTCGAGATGTCTCAACCACACAGAGCCAGGTTGTTCAAAGTGGAGAGCTGGCCGAAGGCACTGGCATGGCGCTGGCTCTTGACTTTCCCATCCCTTGTCACCCCACCCAGCCTCATTTGCACCAATACAGGCGCGATTCCCAGAAGCCCAGCCGCGGAGGCCCTACCTGTTCTTGGTTCTTCTGCAAGGGGCATGGGAGGTACGGGGGTGGCAGGATTTTAAAGGGGCAAGGTTGCACCTGTTTGCCAGGTCAGCCTTCCAAGCTGAGGAGCAGACACTCAAATTAGCAACACGAGGAAGGGGCTCACCCAAGGCTACATAGTTCCCTCGATGCAGCCCCCAGAGATCCAACCCAGCCTGCCCGGAGGGTGTGGACAACTGAATCCAGATTCAAGAGCTGGAGAAACCACATCAGACAGTGGACAGATTGAAGTTCCCACCAAGAACCTCACCCAGCCACAGGAGGGTGGAACGTTCTTTCCTTGCACTACAGAACAAATCAGACGCCACCCCACCACCCCCTGCAGCCCAAGCCCAGTGGAGTGTAAGCAAAGCAGCTGGACAAGCAGACACGGCTGCTGTGCCCCAGCCTCAGCTCCTAGGAGGGAGACCAGATCTGGCGGGGGAGAGGGGAGGGTACACAGAGTGCCCTGGCTGGACGAAGGGGGTGTAAGAAATCCAGAGACTCAGGTGGGCACCAGCAGAGCCCTGAGCGCCGGCCATGGGAGTCCCATGCATGAAGGAGGCGGGGGAGAAAGTCTGGAAGCAGCCCCCCAAAAGGGGCAGGAATCCTCCCTCCTCCCCGCAGGGGGTGGGGGAGGCAGGCACAGAAGCAGTGGGTGAGGGAGATCTGTGTTCCTGGAGGCTCTTGGGGGCTGGGGATGGCGGGGGAGCAGGCCTGGGGATGAGCCATAGGAAGGCCCAGCCGGTGCACAACGTGCCCTGTCTCTGCAGCCCCTTGTCTGGGAGCATAGGGTACAGCGGGAGCGGTGGCCTCTCCATGGGTGGTGGTGGCTACAGCAGTGGCGGTGGGAACGGTGGCTTTGGAAGCAGAAAGGCACCCGCGCTGGTGGGCTTTGTCCCCTCCTGAGGGTCACGTTGCGCAGCCCCTCCCAGAAAGCAGAGGCAGGACAGCGGGAAACAGGGAGAAGGGCAGGCAGAGAGGGGTAGTGGTTTCTCCATTTCGTCTAAAGAGTTCTAAGCCCCTCCCCACCACCTGACGGCTCACCGCCTTGGAACGAGGCAACCCCCTCCAGACGGCCGCTGCCCGACGCTTGCCTACTTCCTGTAGCAGCTGCTGTAAAGTGTCCCCAAGCTGTCTAGGTCACGTCTGAGTCTGTGTCCTGTCTCACATTCCGGGTGGGCAGCCTTGCGCGGGTTGGCTCTGGGAGCAGGTGTGTGTGGCCCACGGCGAGTTGGCTGAACCATCCCATTTGTGCTCTCAGGCTGTGGTCCTGGCGTCCATGGTGCCCACCCTCTGGCCTGGACACCATCGGGGTGCTCTTCTGTGTCTGGAGAGCCCGAGGGAACATCGTCCTCAAGGGTCTGCCCACAATTTCACTCCCGCCTACAGCACCAATTTGCTGTCTGTCTGGCTGTCTCAGCCTCACCCTCGCCATTAACCCAGTTTCCCACGCCCGCCTGTGGGACGCTCATCCGAGGCAGAGCAAGAAGCCCCTTCCCCTGACATCAGGCCACTGGACCCCCTCCCCCCCACACACACATGTAACCTCCATCCCCACCATCACCCAGAGGGTCCTCGTTACACTCATCCCCTTCCCCACTGCTCCAGGCGCCAAGGTCAAGACTACGGAAAAAGGGAGCCATGTACAATGGCACGTAGAGGCGTCTGGAATTGCAGCCTCCTGATCTACAGGGGCTGGGGACCAGGGACGACAGAGAGCTTGCGGGCAGTGGATGCCTGATTCCTAACCCAGGCTTCTCTCCCGCGGAGCAGCACAGCACGGACACGTCCCAGGTCTGGAACTGAACCCGGGCACATCCCCCTGTGAGTGACCTGCCAACACAGCTCCTTACTGCCTTATCTGCCCATCTGGAGGCTGTCCTAAGAACTGCAGGGACTCAGTGGCCACGCGACGAATGTCACCCCTCTTAGGTCGATCGGCTTGATTCTGCCTGGAAGGCAAAGTGGTGTCAGCCCCCCACCCCCCGCCGCCCCCCTGGGATGCTTTCCCCGGCAGGACTGGTAAAAAGAGGCAGGGCGGGAGGGGGCTCTGGACATCTCCAAAGGGGCTGTGTACGATGCCCGGCTGCTGGGCAGAAAGGTGGAATCCCACACCCACCTGAGGGCAGCCACTGTCCCCAGGGATGTCCTTGGGACACAGCAGACTCCAGCTGCTCCAAGGATGCTCAGGGTGAAATGGGAAGCAGGGAAGAGAAGTGGGGACACGGAACCCCAGACCTAAGGGCCCAGAGCATGTTGGGGGTTACTCTCTTCTCCTGCAGACAAGGGCTCTCCTTGGGAGTCGCCTGCACTGCTCTTGGACCCACGAACTTTGGACAGAAGCCTCTGTTCCCCAGGGCCTGTTCACTCTCAAGGACCCGTCTGCTGCCGGGAGGCGTCTCCCACCCAGAAAGCCTCCATTCTTGGACATGTCTTGGAAAAGACGTGGAGACAGCCCTGGGGAAATGGAGCAGCCATGAGTGCATCTAATTTGCGCCGCATTCCCCCCAGCCAGCCAGGGGGCTGTGAGTCACTGCCCTGCTTCCCCTCCTGTGAAATCCCTGGAAGCTTGACTGTCCCTGTCCTCCAGGCTGAGCCCCTGGGGTGGGGGCACACCCTGTCTGGCCGCCCCGATCTTCAGAGCCCCCCAGCCCCGATCCTCAATTCCTCCTCCATGCTCCAAGCTCCCCTAATTACCCACCTTGCTCCTTGGCAGCTGCCAATGGCCCAAGCTCATAAACCTCATTTAATGGTGATTTGGGGTTTGACCCAGCTCAACCCTCCACTCCGCTCCCAGATAAAAGGGGGCAAACCAAGCCCTCACTCCATCCTTTCTGCTCTCGCTCTCCCCTCCAGAGCCGCACCTCTTCTCTCCTGCTATGTCTTGCCGTTCCATCCAGCTGGGCTCCAGATGCAGCAGCCGGGGCTTTAGCTCCTGCTCGGCCATCGTGCCCCGGCTGGTCACTCACTACGCAGTGAGCAGCGGCTCGTGCCGGTATGGGGGTGCCGGGGGTCTCCGCACCCTGTGCTACCCCAGCTCACGGAGCCTGTGCAATGTGGGCTTCGGGAAGCCCCGGGTGGCCTCCAGGTGTGGCCTGCCTGCCTTCGGGTACCGAGCGGGGGGCCCCTGCGGGTCTCCTGCCTCCATCGCCCCTGTCACCATCAATGAGAACCTGCTGGTGCCACTGGCGCTGAAAATCGACCCGACCGTGCAGAAGGTGAAGAGGGATGAGAAGGAGCAGATCAAGGGCCTCAACAACCGCTTTGCTTCCTTCATCAACAAGGTGAGGGGCCGGGGCAGGCGGGGGGCAGGCTCCCAGGTCTGGCCAGGATCCTGGAGAGAGACGAACAAGAGAGACGCTAGTCCCTCTGCCAGTCCCCGTTGACAGCTGGTTAAACCAGCCCCAGAACCATGCATTTCTGCTTCCCAGTCCTTTTTCAAATACATCCTCTCTCTCTGCATTCTGTCTGACCACATTGCCAAGGCTGCCTGAGGTTAGACCGCGAGAGGGACTTCCCAGCCCTACCGGGAGGCATGCCCAACAGGCAGGCATGCCCAACAGGCAAGACCATGCCCGACCTGATGAGGCTGTAGCCACAAAACAGCCTTCCAAGTGACCGAGCTGGGTGGACCCTGTGGGCCTGAAGGGCTTGTGACCCCAGACTTTGCCACCGAGTAGGGCTGGGGTCAGACAAGAGTGGGGCACTCAGAGCTGGTAGCACCCGGTGGCCCTCACCAAGGCCTTGCAGGTGTCAGTTCCAGAGCCAAGCTGTGTGGGCAAGGAAGAGCATAGGCCTGGCTTGTCATCCCTTGGCTACCCAGGCGGGGGTGGGGGATGGGTACACACCCAAGAGCTGCAGAAGGAATTTGTTTAATCCCTTAGAGTTTTCTCACTCTTCTTTTTTATTTTTTTATTTTTATTTTTTTTTTTTTTTTGTATCCGGGATTCACTCTCCAAATGTCCACAACAGCCAGGGCTGGGCTCAGGCCAGAGCCAGGAGCTCAATTTAGGTGTGCCGGGCAGACAGCAAGTTTAAGCCATGCTTGCTGTCTGGAAAAGTCTGTGTTAGCAGGAAGCCGAAGCCAGGATCCAGAGGCAGAATTAGAACCCAGGCACTCTGATGCCAGACGTAGTCATTTTAACCACTAAGCCAGACGCCAGCTCCCAGAATTTTCCAAGTTGAAGTTCTGGTTATGAACACCTTCCAGCCACTCGGGCCTGTTCTCCAGCTGTGCTGTGCCAAGGACGCCCACCGTGGTGGTGTTCCTTCTTCTGCAGTGTTGGGGAGGGGGGAACCCCAGACTGGGACTAGAGACCACGCCTCCGTTTTCCCGGGACTAGCTAGGGGCCAGAGGGGACTCACCCCCTGCCCCTAGTCTCCATTTCCAAAGCAGAGAGAGTGAGGAGGTGGGCCAGCTGCCGCCTCCGTCACTTGTACCCCTGGGGAAAGAGGGAGGGCCCAGGATAAAGTCCTGGATCCCTTCCCCCGAGGGGTCCCGGGCTGCCGGGCATCACACAAGCTGGTGCTGGGGCGGAGGTTCGCAGAGCGCTCACCCAGCACACTGGGGCCAGTCTACACAGAGCCCAAGTGGTGCTAGGGCAGCGCTGTGTTGGGAGGGAGGGCAGCCACTCATTCCACGGCCCTCCTCACGGCACGGCCCCCCGGGCTGCGGCCCCACCCGTGCCGCTACAGGTGCGTTTCCTGGAGCAGAAGAACAAGCTGCTGGAGACCAAGTGGAACTTCATGCAGCAGCAGAGGTGTTGCCAGAGCAACATCCAGCCCCTCTTCGACGCCTACATCAACAACCTGCGCAGGCAGCTGGACGCCGTGTCCGGGGAGCGCGGGCGGCTGGAGGCGGAGCTCTGCAGCTTCCAGGACACGCTGGAAGCCTACAAGAAAAAGTGAGCCGGCCACGGGAGGCAGCTGGGCCTCGGCCACTCCGTCCGTGAAGTGGCAGGGGCGGGGAGGGGGTGGTGGAAACCGGTTCGCTAGCTGGTGGCAGCGGGTCCGTTGCTGGGAGCCGGCGGGCGGAGCATCCGGCAGCGGCGCGTGCGCACTGGGGCCCCTGCCCCAGGCAAACCCTCTGAGACCTGACAGGCAGCCGTCTTGATCTCCCTGCTGTCAGCCCTCGTGCGGGGAAACGCGCTTTCTCCTGTCTGGTTTGAAGCCCCAGGGCTCAGCTCCCAGCCATCACCTGCCGGTTCTGCCTTTGCGCCCATCAGTACCTGTGCACAGCCTGGCCCACTCTCTATCTCCCAAACAGACCCCAGGCCTCTCCCCTCCCAGCTGCACCCTTGCCATCCCTTCTGCCTGGTCAGCCCTGTCTCAGCTTTGCTCTGCGCCCCCCACTCCCCGGGGCTGGGGAAGAACCTGTCCTCCACCCCGCCACCCCTGTCCCCTGAGGACAAACCCCAGGCCTGAGCAGGTGTTGTTGCTAAGCACAGGTCAGTGCAGAGCTTGCTGGGAAGGAGTGTCCGTGCTTGCAAGGGGCTGAGGCCCAGATGGGCGGCCTCAGTGCTCAGGCATCCGGGACCAGGGTCTGTGGGGCTTGTATGCTCATGGTTGAGCCTTGAGGGAGACATTTCCAACGAGGAGACGCCATGCAAATATATTGAGAGCAACTGATCACGGGGAGGCGGGTCCGTGGGGTGGAGCCTTGTCTGGGTGTAGATGCCAGAGGCTGTATTGGGAGGTGGGACGCTCTGGGGCAGGACTGCCGCTCTCCTCATCCTGGGGCAGATGAGGCACGGAGAGGCCGAGTCGCTTACCCAGCACGTGGCATAGCCAGGCAGCGGGGCCCCAGAGCCCAGTGCCAAGCGTGTGCAGGGCAGCGCTGGGAAGGAGAGAGAGGTGGACGTCAGAGCGGGACCAGCACTGGGCTGCGGTCGCTCGCCAAGCCCTGCACTCTGAGTCCCTGTGCCTTTCGGGGAGCAGTGGCAAGTGGGCTAGGGAGCTCGGGGGGAGGGGGGGACATGGCGGAAGCTGCACAGCCGGCCACCTCTGGGACAGGCAGTAATTGCTACCTCTGCAACCGGCCCACTGCGGCGGGGAAGGCTTGGGGGCTGCAGGCAGTCTCAGATGCAACCTGGCGGAGTGGGCGGGGCTCCAGACGTTCCCAGGATGGGACCAGCCTGCAGAGGGACTTCCCGGGGCTGACTCATTGCGTGCCAGGCTCCTGGGGGCCGCAGGGGACGGGAGGAGTAGGCGGGGAAGAGGTAAAGTTGGAGAAGCTGCTGGGGGAACCATGGTAATAACCACATGCCCTAAGCCAGGAAGCTGGGGCTGCCCAGATTCCATGGGGCGACACATGGGGACAGGCAGTGTGGCACTGAGCCTCACCCACAGCAACCCGCTCCCTGCCTCCTGCCAGGTATGAAGAGGAGGTCTCCCTGCGGGCCAGTATTGAGAATGAGTTTGTCACCCTGAAGAAGGTGAGAGTGGCCACCCAGGCTGGCGGGGCGGGGGGGGAGGGGCGGGGGGAGGACACCCAGCCCGGGGCAGGGTCCACAAGTGTCCCCGACCCCCTCACCCCACTGAAGGATCTCTGACTCCTCCAACTCCTGTGCCAGCCGCCCCTCCCCTCTCCCCCACCCTGAAGAGGAAAGCCAGCCTCCAGTGCCCCCTTGCAAGGGGCTGGGGATCGGCCTGGCCTCGGGTCCACCACTGCCCACGTAGCTGGAGACGTGGCTAGTGCCACATCACAGAACAGAAACCCTGAGTCAGACCCCCCACACACACACACGGGGGTGCCTGGGGCAGGGGGAAGGTGGTGCCCGGAGAAGGTAGGGGGTGGCCTGCAACCCTGGTACAGCCCCGCCCAGGCCATGCTCCTCTCTATGCCCCACTGCAGGAGGTAGACACCGTCTTCCTGGTGAAGGCTGACCTGGAGACCAACATGGAGGCCCTTGTGCAGGAAATCAACTTCCTGAAAAACTTGTACGAGGAGGTACCTGTCGTCTGCTGCCTGCCCGCCCTGGGGTCCTGCGGGGGATATGGGGGCAGGGAGAGCAGTGGGGCAGGGGCGTGTCCACCTGGCACGCACGCATCAGGCCAAGCAGGTGCAGCCATCTGTATGGGATTCCCAGAAGTCCGACCATCCAGGCCTCTGACTTTCGGACACCCCTGGGAAAGCCCCTCCCCTCCCCCGAGACTCGGGGTCATTGGAATCGTCCCAGGTCCCCTTCCTCCTGCCCCTCGCCCCCTTGGTGAGCTCACATCTTCTCCCCCGGGGCCCCTCCCCCAGGAGATCCTCCTGCTGCAGTCTCAAATCTCCGAGACCTCTGTCATCGTGAAGATGGACAACAGCCGGGACCTGGATGTAAATGACATCATTTCCGAGATCAAGTCCCAGTATGATGACATCGTGAGCCGTAGCAAGGCCGAGGCTGAGGCCTGGTACCAGTCCCGGGTAAGGCCCTGGGGGCCGCGGGGCTGGGGCGGAAGGGGACTCCAGGGGCGAGAGGAAACAAGGTGGAAGTGGTTGCAGAGCTAATGAGGGCCACGCCAGAGCCAGGGAACCCCATAAACCCTAGCACCTCCTCCCTCCTGCCAGGCCCCAGGAGGGCCCCCCAACCCCTGCCCGAGACGGCCCAGGCCTGTGATCAGGTGCCCGGCCGTGTTTACCTGAGACTCTCTGCGGGCAGCGTTCAGTAAACACCAGCAGTGCTGGCACAGAGGACCGCGTGGGCGGGGGCTGGCAGCGTGGGGAGGTTACGCACAGTGGAGAGAAACAGTGATTAAGGCAGCCCCAGACTCGGTAATTAGGGCTTTGCTGGGAGGCCAGCGGATGCCCCTGGGGGCAACTCCGATGGATGACTGTCATCTCAGCCGCCCCTGCCTGGACTGTGCAACACTCAGTGCCAGCAGCTGCTCATGGCCTCGCATTCAGCTGCTTCCTCCGCTTCTGTCCTGTGCCACGAACAGTCCCAGAGCAGGAGGGACAACAGGGAGCCAAGCAGGTGGCCAAGCAGTGCCCCCAAGCCATGCTCCGCCTGTTTTCACAGCCAGTTCTTACTTTCTCCATGGTAACCAGAAATACAAAGATAACCTGCCTAGGATGACATGGGGACCCAGGGTCCCTCCTGCTTTCCATTCCGCCACCTTGAACATGCACCTGCCCGCTCAAAGTACCTCTTGTCCCAAGACAGCTGCAGGAGCTGCAGGAGCCTCACAGGTTCCCACCAGGCAGGAAGAAGGAGAAGAACAGAGAGGGAGCTGTTGGAGAAACCCGCCCAGCAACAGCCACAGACGCTGTGCTGAGACTAAGCTCGTGGCTGGGCTCCCGCAGCTCTGTTGGGAGAGAAGAGCGGGTGTCTCTCGGGCAACTGCAGGCTTCCCCTGGAACCAAGTCACAAAATAGCCAGGGCCTGCTTCTGGGCTCCCCTCTCTCATGTCCTGATGTCTGCGCAAAGTGCTCCCAAACGCTATCAGAAAAGTGGCTCATCTTCAGCAAGCTGCGTGTGCAGTCTGCACCTACTGTCTGTGCAGACGCTGCATTCAGAGTGCAAAGATTCGTTAGTGTTGGTCCAAGGCGGGAGTTTGGTGGTTTTGAGGGGGAAACAAGCAAAATCACTCTTCTTGATGGGCAGGCACGGTCTGACCTCAAGTCCGTGGTCTGACCTCAAGTCCATGGCCTGGGCACAGAAACCCCTGCAGAGAGTCCTCGGGACACTCCAGGTTCTGGGGCAGAGAAGAAAGCAGCAGGTGCAAGGGGTAGGGGAATGTGGAGAACCTCACCGACCTGCAAAGCTCGGGCTGGGCCAGTGAGGTGGGAGCAAGGAGTGACCCCCACGGCGACCCCAAACTAGAGGAGATTTGAACAGAGACCAGGAGCAGAGCAGGTGCATGGGAATCACCGCGCCCGGGCGGCCACCAGAGGGCGGCAGAGCGAGGGCGCGGGGCAAAGCCCCCCACCCCCGGGGGCGGGGGCTGACCTCTCTGTCCGCACGCAGTACGAGGAGATGCGGCTGACGGCCGGAAACCACTTAAACAACCTCCGGAGCCTCAAGAATGAGATCCTGGAGTTGAAAAAGATAATCCAACAGCTGCAGCAAGAGATAGAGAACACCAAATCGCAGGTGAGACGCGGGGGCGGGGGCGGGGAGTGGGCGGGGCCTGAGGCGGCCAGAGCCCAGCCCCGGGGCTGGCCGGCCCACCCGAATGGGGTGGGGAGGGGGCGTGGTCCAGGTCCCCCTGCAGCGCCATTGAAGAGGGAATGGGCCTGTGCTGTCTTGCCTGAGAGGACCTGAGCGCTTCCCACAACAGAGCTGACCCACAGAGCAGCCAGGTCCCCGGGTGGGCAGAGGCTGCAGCACAGCGAGATAAGCCTCTACCTAGGAAGCCGGCATCCCGCATCAGAGCGCCTGGTTCTGACCCAGCTTCCTGTTAAATACCCCCTGGGAGTCAGCAGAGGATGGCCCAAGGGCATGGGCCCCTATCACCCACATGGGAGATCTGGATGCAGTTCCAAGCTCCCAGCTTCGACCTGGGCCAGCCCTGGCTGTTGCAGGCATTTGGGAAGTGAACCAGGGGAAAGAAGGTCTCTCTCTCTCTCTGCCTTTCAAGTAGATGAAAATAGAAATTATTTTAAAAAGAAAGACACTTTACCATAAAGAGTATAGAAAGATGTTTCCCATTAACACTCCGATACTCCATGATCCTGAGATTTGAGATGACTTGGGGTCGTTGTTAAAACCAAACCCATTCTACCCTGCTAGGCAAGTGGGGACCTGCTAAGCCCTCCAAACACATTGGCTCCAAAGAAAGCACTCAGCACATCTAAGAGGAGAGTCTCAGATCTCCTTGAGTTGTTGTTGGTAGAAAACTGGTCCCACCTGTTAGAAGGAACAGGCTATCACAACCCACAGCAAACCTGAACTGAGCGTGCACCACCCCAACGTTGCCCCCGGCCTTCTCAGAGCCAGGCTCGGGGCCCCTGGGGCTCTGGTCACAACTTTCTCTGTGTCATTCCCGCAGCGCGCCAAGCTGGAAGAGGCCGTGGCCCAGGCGGAGCAGCAGGGCGAGGGGGCCCTGAATGACGCCAGGAGCAAGCTGGCGGGGCTGGAGGCCGCCCTGCAGAAGGCCAAGCAGGACATGGCGTGCCTGCTCAAGGAGTACCAGGAGGTGATGAACTCCAAGCTGGGCCTGGACATCGAGATCGCCACCTACCGCCGCCTGCTGGAGGGCGAGGAGAACAGGTGAGCCTCAGGGCGGGAGGAGAGCTGGTCAAGGGCAGGCGTGTGTGTGTGTGTGTGTGTGTGTGTGTGTGTGTCCAGCCCTGCAGTCATCAAAAATGCAAAGCAGCACAGGGTCTGCAAGCCTCTTCCTTAAAAAAAAAAAAAAAGCATTTATTTATTTGAAAGTCAGAGTTACAGAGAGAGTGGGAAAGACAAGAGAGACAGAGGGAGGCCTTCCATCTGCTGGTTCACTCCCCAGATGGCCACAACGGCCAAGGCTGGGCCAGGAGGAAGCCAGGAGCCAGGAGCTTCTTCCAGGTCTCTCACATGGATGGAAGGGGCCCAAACACTTGGGCCATCTTCTGCTGCTTTCCCAGGCCATTAGCAGGAAGCTGGGTGGGAAACATAGCAGCCCGGACTCGAACCAGTGTCCATATGGGATGCCGGCCCTGCAGGTGGCAGCTTTACCGCTAAGCCACAGCGAGTTCCCTCATATGGACAGGAGCGGGAGAGGGGCCTCTTGCCGCAGGCATGCGCAGTGTGGTCTCTGATGCCTTCTTTCCCCTTATCCCCAGGCTGTGCGAAGGCATTGGACCTGTGAACATCTGTAAGTAGACGGACCACATGCCCAGGGCCCCGGGTTGGGGGCAGGGGCAGTCGCTCAACACGCAGGACCCCTCAGCGGAAACCTGGTGCCTCCCCCTCCCGGCAGGGAGAGCTCTGCCTGCCTCCCACAGAGCCTAGTGTGTCCAAGGGGCGGGGAGAGGTGGAAGGGGCGTGCCCCTGGAGGGGCGTGGCAGCAGGGGCGTGGTCTGGGGCCACTGCCTCAGCACTGCGCAGGGTGGGCTCTGAGCACACACGTTCCTGCCCCGCAGCCGTGAGCAGCTCCAAGGGCGCCCTCCTGTATGAGCCGTGCGTGGAGAGCACGCCCCTGCTGAGGACCGACTACTGCTCAGGGGGCACCAGCATCCTGAAAAGCGGTGGGAGCTGCAGCGTCGTGGGCACCGGGAAACTCTACATCCCCTGCGAGCCCCAGGGGCTCCGAGGCTGTGGGAGCAGTCAGGGCTCCAGCCGCAAGTGTTAGCCCTGCCCCCAGAGACCCAGGGGACAGCACCCCAGCCCAGCCCCCACCCTCCCACCCCCCGCTGTCACCTCTCCCACAGGGCTGAAGACAAGCACTTTCCAAAGCCCCACTTCCTGTACTGACCTTAGGCGGCCCCAGAATTCCTGCTGGGTGATGAGCTGCCATCCTCATCTCCAAGATCGCTTCCACTTAGCTGTGTGCTCACTCCAAGCTGGCCTGGGGGAGGGGGTGCAGAGAGAGAGAGGACGCAGGCTTCCAGCCCCCAGAGAATGGCTGCAGCTCTCAAGCAAAAGGCCCTTTGCATTCTGGACTGTCCCGTGGAAGCTGCCCCACGAAGCCGGACTCCTCTTCGTCACACCCCAGGCTCCTCACCTGCCTTGCTCTGGCTCTCATGCACACTGCAGAAAAATGAACTTGTCTCAACACGCACCAGAAACGCACACCACATCGCAAGTGTCAAGAGGAGACGGCCCCAGATCCCATGCTGGGTTCTAAAACTCAGTGCTTGGCAAAGTCATAGCACAGACAACCCAGTGATGGACACGGGGCCGTGGCTTCCCTTGCTGTGGTGTGTTGAGCTCCAGGTCTGAAACAAGTCATGCCCGTCGGCAGGTGATGGCAGGGAAGCGCCTGGAACAAAGGGCCAGGGGACACGGAATGTTGACCAGACAGACTGACCATCCCCAGCTGACCCCAGCTCAGTAGGATCAAGCCCCACCCCCACCCCACCCCGTTCTGTACACAGCTGCCTACTTTCTGCTCCTTTGCCTTGAATGTCTGTTGGGAATTGCAGGCTCAGCGGCTCTGGCTCTGGACTGGGAGAAGGAGGAGGAGGTGCTGGGCTGACCCCACCTCCCAAGAGCCCCTTTTCCTGCGCTCCGCCCACCTGGGGATCCAAGATCTCCGCCCTGAGCCTCTGGGCCTTTCTCAATAAACTGCCTCGGTTTGCACATGATTGAGATGTAATTATTTATCCTGCTCTGTTGGAGGAGTGGTAAGGCTGAGGGGGGCTCTATGAGCTGCTTTGGGGACTGGAGGCTTGGGAATGACTGCGAAGGCTGTGATACAAGCAGAAAAGGTACTTAGTGAATGATGTAACGCGGCCTGTGCAATAGATAAGACGCCATACAAACCACACCGAGAACCTGCGCATCACGCCCACCAGAGTTTGCCAGTTGCTTGCAGGGTTAGGGACCGCGTGCCTGGGGCAGGCATCTGGCGCAGCACTTGAGACTCCTCTCACATCACGTAGTGTTTGGGATCCAGTCCCAGCTCCGCTTCCCATCCCAGCTGCCAGCTAATGCAGGCCCTGGGGGCAGCAGTAATGGCTCAAGTCAAGTTGGGTCCCTGCCACCACATAAAAGACCTGGATTAAGTTCCCTGCTCCTGGGGCCAGCGCTGCAATGTAACAGTTAAAGCTGCTGTCTGCAGTGCCGGCATATTATATGGGCGCCAGTTCAAGTCCTGGCTGCTCCACTTCTGATCCAGCTCTCTGCTATGGCCATTGCTGGCAACTGGCGAGTGAACCAGCAGATGGAAGACTCTCTCTCTCTCTCTCTCTCTCTCTGTCTCTCTCTCTCTCTCTTTCTCTCTCTCTCTCATTCTCTCTCTGTATAACTCTGACTTTCAAATAAATAAATAAATAAGTAATAAAAAAAAAGTTCCTTGCTCCTGACTTGGGCTGCTCAAGCCTTGGCTATTGTGGGCATTTGGAAAATAAACCAGAGGATGAAAGACCCTCTCTCTCCTCTCTCTCTCCCTTTCTCTCTTTCTCTCTCTCTTGTTCTTGCTGTTTTTCCCCCTCTCTCTGTTACTCTACCTTTCAAATATATAAATAAATCTTCAAGGGGCTGGCACTGTGGCACAGCGGGTTAACACCCTGGCCTGAAGCAGCAGCATCCCATATGGGCGGCAGTTCGAGACCTGGATGCTCCTCTTCTGATCCAGCTCTCTGCAGTGGCCTGGGAAAGCAGTGGAAGATGGCCCAAGTGCTTGGGCCCCTGCACCCACGTGGGAGACCTGGAAGAAGCTCCTGGCTCCTGGCTTCTGATCAGCACAGCTCTGACCATTGCTGGCAACTGGTGAGTGAACCAGCAGGTGGAAGACTCTCTCTCTCTCTCTCTCTCTCTCTCTCTCCCTCTCTGCCTCTCCTTCTCTTTTTGTGTAACTCTGACTTTCAAATAAATAAATCTTTAAAAATAAATAAATAAATCTTAAAAAAAAAAAGAAACAGACCTGGAGATGACATTTGGTGGCAGCAATTCCATCCCTGCCACCTCAGTGATCCCTGAAACTCCTGGGGGGCTCCCTGCACCCAGCAGCCCTCGCCCTGGGAGCTGGGGTGCATCTCCCCTCCCCCACGGCCCTCACAAGCCCTGCCCCAGGAGCTGAGTTGGGCAGGGGATACAAAGATGACTGAGCTGCCCTCTGCGCCCAGCAGGGATTCTCGGCCTCACAGGGGACTCAGAGGAGGAGGAAGAGGAGGAGGAGGAGGAGGAGGCAGAGGTGGGGGGAAGGGGGGCAGCAACAGGGAGAGAGGAACAAGAGTGATTTCTGGAAAGGGAGTCAGAGAGAAACTGGCAGAGAGGGGAGCAGGAACAGAGCCTGCAAAGAAACCCAGAGCCGCAGACTCGCCGGCAGCAAATTCAAAAGGAGTCACTCATTCACTTATTTTATAAAAATTTACTTATTTGTTTGAGAGACAGAGAAAGCAAAGAGAGAGAGAAGACGCTCCCATCTGCCTGCTCGCTTGCTTTTTTCCTTCTTTCTTTCCTTCTTTCTTTCTTTCTTTCTTTCTTTCTTTTTCCCTTTCTTCCTTTCTTCCTTTCTTTCTTTCTTTTTAAGATTTCTTTATATTTTTAAGGCAGAGTTACACAGAGAGAAGGAGAAGCAGAGAGACAGAGAGAGGTCTTCCATCTGCTGGTTCACTCCCCAGTTGGCCGCAAAGGTTGGAGCTGAGCCGATCTGAAGCCAGGAGCCAGGAGCTTCTTCTGGGTCTCCCACTTGGGTGCAGGGGCCCAAACACTTGAGCCATCTTCTACTGCTTTCTCAGGCCATAGCAGAGAGCCGGATTGGAAGAAGAGCAGGTGGGACTTGAACTAGTGCCTATATGGGATGCTGGTGCTTCAGGCCAGGGCTTTAACCCAATGTGCCACAGCGCCGGCCCCACTCCATATACATTTATCAAGCACCTGCAGTGAGTCAGAGGCTGGACTGCCTTAGTCACTGTTGTCTCGCCAGCCCCTCTCAGGCAGGCACGGGAGACGTACCCAGGGCCCATGCTCAGGAATGCCCAATGGAACGCCATGGTGCAAAACAGCCCGGGTGCATCACAGCACCAATCACAGAGTCAGCAGGTCATCCAGCGGGGCCACGCCCATGGTGGTAAAAACACCAGTCCACGGGAACACCTGCCCCTGAAGATCCGTGGCAGCACTTTCTGTCATAGCCATACATGCAAATAACCTGCACATCCATCAAGAGATTTAAAAAAAAAATGGGTAAAGCAGATGTGCTGAAATTATCCATGCAGGGAGATGGTGTTTGGCTTTTTGAAAAGGAGCGGAGCAGCACACCTGCTGCAACTTGAGCGCCCATGAGAACGGGGACGCGCAGTGAAGGCTCTCAGCCGCGGAGGCCACGCACTGAGCCACCCAGGGATCCTGCAAGGCCCGGAGCGGAAGCTCCCGCAGACAGCAGAGATGGGAGCACGTCCACCTGGAGGGGTAGGGAATCCTGGAAGTCATATAGGGGTTGTAGCTAGGGGTTTCTCTTCCAGGTGCTGAAAAAGACCCTCAAAAAAAACCACGCTGATGCTTGCACCACATTCGGAAGGAGCAGAGTGTGTGCTGATACGAATCATAGCTCTGCAGGGCTGCTTAGAAACGCGAGAGTGTGGGGGTTAAGCCAGCTGCCGCCTGCAATGCCTGTGTCCCCTATCGGAGCACTGATTCCTGTCCCACTGCTCCGCTTCTGATCCAGCTCCCTGCAAATGCTCCTGGGAAGGCAGCAGAAGATGGCCCAGGTGCTTGGGTCCCTGCACCCATGTGGGGGACCCAGATGAGATCCTGGTTTCTGACTTTGCCCTGGCCCAGCCCCAGCTGCTGCAACCATTTGGGGAGTGAACCAGCAGATGGATAATCTCTCTCTCTCTCTCTTTCTCTGCTGTCACTCTGCTTTTCAAATAAATAAAAATAAACCTTTAAAAAACTAAACATATGGGGTTCTGGCCCAAGCCTACACCTCACAGAGACTCCAGACTTGGAACATGAAATTCCAGCAGCCAAGAGCAGAAGGCTTTGGGGCCAGAGCTGCATTTCCTGCCCAGGTCTCCGGAAGTGGCCCCGCCACCTCCCAGAGGATCTGACTCCTGGTGGCCAGCAGGATGGCCGGAGCCTTTCTCCTCCCAGGGGCCCTTCCCTCTCCCAAGACCCCTCCCCAGGGGCTCTCTGCCTCTGCCCTTCCACCCCCTCCCCAGCCCAACCACACCTGCAGCCCCAGTGCCCCTCCCCCCTCAATGGTGCAACCAACCACCTGTGACAACAGAGTGCCTTCGAGATGGGGGCTTGGGTTGGGGGCTGCAGCCTCAGAAATGCCCCCTGTGAGCAGGGGAAGGGAGCCGGAGTTGCCCCATGTGGTAGAGGAGAGAGGGCTGCCCCAGCTCCCCACACCCAGTGGGGGCTTGCAGAAGCCACCTGAGCTACATGCCCCCTAGGAGCAGCTGTGGCATTCTGGGTCAGTTGACAGCCAGAGCACCCGAGGGAAGGGGGAGGGAGGGGTGCTGCACTCCCTCGAGAAGCCAGGAGTGGCTGTCAGCCAGCGATGGGGCGGGGGGGGGCAGGCAAGGGTGGTCTCAGCCGCCTGGCCCACCCTGGTTCCCTCTGCAGGGGACCCCCCAGCTCTCTTGCCCGGCAGGGACAGGTCTTAGCATGAAACCTCCCCAGCCGATGTCTCCCTCCCGCACCCATTCATCCCCAAGCAGGACAGCCGCTCCCAGCAAAGCTTTCTCAGGGCCTGGGCTTCCCTTCTCATCCACTTCCCACACACACAGCCACAGCGTGCCCAGGATTCCTGAAACAAACCGAGCCCTGGGCCAGCCGGGACAGGGCCAGGCCGGGGAAGCCCTCCCTCCCCAGCCCACAGATAGCGTCGGCATGAGCCAGGCGCCAGCAGGAACGAACGTCATGGAGGCCCTGGGGCTGGACACAGAGGCCCTGGGGCTGGACTCAGCCCACAGGAGCCAGGACTGCACCCCGGCTGACTGATGACGAAGGTGAGGAGTCACCAGGGCAACTCCCGCCGCCTCCATCGGCCGCCCCCCTAAATAATGGCTGAAGGGTTGGAACAGCCAAGCCAAATAAGGCCTTGGAACTGTCAGGGCCGGTGGTGACAGCTCACCCTGGAACAGGGTTCTGTTTGACTGGCCCTGATCACCCCACTCCCTGGGCTGCATCGGGGGTGGAGAGTGACTCCGGGGACGGCGCAGCCTGGCTGATGGGGTAACCAACAGTGCCTCAGCCAGCCGCTGCGGTGGGCAGGAGGTGGGGTGTGGGGACAGCACGGGGGTGGACCACGCAGAAGCGAAGGGGAACAGGGGTGATCACACCTTTCACAGGAGGACTCTGAGGCTGGGAGAGGCTGGGAGCTCCCCCCAGCCCACTCCACCCCTGCCACAAGCCCGTGGTACCCCGGGAGGACTGGGCGGCGTCTGAGTCCCTGAGTCTGATGGCTGCGTTATTTAGAATGGCCAGTGTGTGAGCCGGCGCCATGGCTCAATAGGCTAATCCTCCGCCTGTGGCGCCGGCACCCCAGGTTCTAGTCCCGGTCGGGGCGCCAGATTCTGTCCCGGTTACTCCTCTTCCAGCCCAGCTCTCTGTTGTGGCCCAGGAGTGCAGTGGAGGATGGCCCAGGTCCTTAGGCCCTGCACCCGCATGGGAGACCAGGAGGAAGCACCTGGCTCCTGACTTCAGATCAGCGCGGCCATTGGAGGGTGAACCAATGGAAAAGGAAGACCTTTCTCTCTGTCTCTCTCTCCCTCACTGTCCACTCTGCCTGTCAAAAAAAAAAAAAAAAAGAATGGCCAGTGCGTGGTGAGCGAGAAGAACACACCTGCTCAGCCTCGGTCACTTCCGATTTCTCTTCGGGCACCCAGAGCAGAGCCCTGCGCCCACCCTGCTCTCCTCTGTCCAAAGCCACCCTGCAGGAGGGTGGCAAGAACAGGACTCAGCCCAGGCCCCTCTGACACCAAAGTCTGTGTCCATGATTATGCTGCACCCCTCCCTCCTTCTGCCTGCAGAGGGGGGTCTTCTGCACCCCTTTCCGATCTCCTGGAACCCAGCACCTGGATCCCAAGAGATCAAAGCTGGAGGGCAAAGTGGCCTGGCTCCCCTGGGCCTCCCAATTGTGGTCCATTTCAGAGCCTGGAGACTTCGCTTCCTGAAATCTATGCAAAACCGGATGTCCCGGCTCCCTGCTTCTTGTTCCTGTGTGGTGTCTGCATTCAGACAGCACGCACATCACCAGTCCCTTCTCTACCAAGGCCAGGCCACAGCCTGAGGACAGAACCCAACAGGGCTACCAGCTGGAGCTCAGGCTGCAGCCGGAGTGGGGAGGTGACAGCAGGTGACTCCAGGCGGAAGAGGACCTCAGACAGGGATACTTGCTAAGAGGCGATGGCAGTAGGGGAGAGGGACAGGGAGATCATGGGCCAGAGAGCTCTGAGCAGAGATGAGAAGGCGACATAGAAACCCACACCTGGAGAAGAGCATAGAACTAGCCATATAGGGATTTGGGGCAGGGAGTGGGGTGGGGGGACGGGAAGGAGGTTGAGGGGGGCAAGGCACACTCTGTAGGAGCGGGAGTGGGAGGGGCCGGGAAACAGCTGGCTGGGCCCCATGGGGCCAACCAGGCAGTAGTGGGCGTGGCAAGAAGTAGTTGGAACCTGGACATTTGCTGAAGGTAGGGTTTGCCGATGGGTCAGTTGTGGGACATGGAGGGTGACCCCAGAGTCGTCGGCACGCAAGTGGAGCGGCGTGGTGTCTGGAAACCCAGAGAAGACCACAGCGAAGGGAAAGGGTGTGGCGAGCCACGTCATACACCGCTGAACAAGGACTTCCTTGTTACTGTCTTCTGCTTCTCCCAGGACGCACAGCTGATGACCGTGTCTCCAGAAAACAAGTTTGAGGTGCCGGTCTGGCATCCAGATGGAGACGTGGATGAGCACCCGTGTGTGGGGGGCAGGGAAGGCCTGGGGGGTGGGGTAGGGGGAAGCCAGGCCTTGGAGGTGACTGATGGATAGAGAGTGCTTAAATCATGAGGTCCGTATGGTGTGACAAGGGCATGAACCTGTCGGCCTGGTCCTGCCCACGGGCACGCAGCCCCCTCCCAGTGCAATCCCACACAGCCCAGCGAGTCTCCAGAACAGAGACAAATGCAAGTTCCTCCCGAGCACAGGACAGGCGGGAGGAGGCACAGGTCACGCCCACAGCACCGGAGCCGGGTCTGGTCCGGAAACGGCTGCCCACTGACGACAGTGGACAATGCCGTGGCGGGAGGAAGCACAGGTCACGCCCACAGCACTGGAGCCGGGTCTGGCCCGGAAACGGCTGCCCACTGACGACAGTGGACAATGCCGTGGGACTTTTCATTTCCTGTGCAGATGCCTCCTGCTTGGTGTCTCTCTTCCACGAGAACGATGCTTTGACAATTCAGTGACCCTGCACGGGCAGGACCGCCATTCAGCCCCATGGTGCCCCAGGGCAGGGGGCTCCGCATCACGTGATCAGCTTGTCCCACAGATAACACGGTAGCATAGCCTGGGTAGGCTTGGGCCTCAGATCAAGCCCCAAAAGTGCTGAGTGGTGGAAGTCCTCGGGATGCACCTTGCTCCATCACCAGGGAGGGCAGGGGCATCTCTTTGGCCTCTGTACTCTCAGTACCAGGAGCCTCAAATCAGAGGGGTGTCTACACCAGCCCTGCTGAGCGTCACTCTAGATGCATCTCTTGTGTAAACAGCCAGAGCAGGTCTTGGAGGACAGAAAGTCTTCCTGTCTGTATCATTTCCCACCTGGAGCTGTGCAGATGCTGTCTCTGCACTGTACACACATCCCCTCCTGTCCTTAGGGGGGCAGGTGCACGCCCCCACCGAGAGCATCTCACGGGAACTGTTACCATCCCTAGCTTTCTGGTGGTTAGCAGTGAAAAAAACCCCATTGGGTTTATTGCCAAAGCCCATTTATGTCCCCATAATGGTAATTGCGGTGGACTTACAGGGAAAAAAATAAGACTATAATGTTTATGTGTTTTTAATGTTTATAGCGTGGATGTTATAACTCTCATCCCCATGAGAATAGGTATGACCGGCATAGCTCATTGTTCGGAAGTTAAGGCCCCGAGAGTTTCTGCTAACTACCCAAGCTCATAAATGCCTCTGAATGGCTTTTCTCGTTTTTATGGGGTCAACCCGCAGATCCCTGTACACATAAAAGGGGTGAGAGGGACCCACTTGCCCCAGAGGGACCTCCCAGCTCCAGCTCGCCCCACTACACAGCCAGTCTGTGGCTCTCTCCCAGGAAGCCGCCATGTCTTGCTGCTCCTACCCGGTCAGCACCTGCCGCCGTGTGGCCAACTTCAGCTCTTACTCGGCCGTGACAGTGCGGAACCTGAGCCACTTCCGGGCCAGCTCGGTCTCCTGCAGAAGTGGGCCCGGCTTCCGGGCAGGCTCTGGCAGTCAGAGCATGAGCAACCTGGCGTCCCACACACCCCGGGTAGCAGCTGTGGGCCCTCGTGCCATCCACGCCAGAGCTGCCCTTGGTTTTGGCAACGGCAGCAGGGTGGGTCTGGGGTTCAGAGTCGGCAGTGGCCTTGGCCATGGCTTTGGAGGCCATGGGTTTGGCTACCGAGTCGGAGGACTCAGAGGCCAGGCAGCTCCATCTATCACGGCCGTGACTGTTAACCAGAGCCTGCTGAGCCCCCTGAACCTGGAGATTGACCCCAGTGCCCAGCGGGTGAAGACGGATGAGAAGGAACAAATCAAGATTCTCAACAACAAGTTTGCCTCCTTCATCGACAAGGTACCCATCCTAGCTGTGAGTCTGGATCTGAGACAGGGAGAGGCGAGAGGCACTGGGGTGTGTGTGTGTGTGTGTGTGTGTGTGTCTTTTTTTATTATTTTTTTAAAGATTTATTTATTTATTTGAAAGGCAGAGTTACAGACAGAGAGAATGAGAGGGAGAGAAAGAGAGAGAGAGAGAGGTCTTCCATCCACAGGTTCACTCCCCAAATGGCTGCAATGATTGTGGCTGAGCCAGCCCAAAGCCAGGAGCCGGGAGCTTCTTCCAGGTCTCCCACATGGGTGCAGTGGCTCAAGGGCTTGGGGCATCTTCTACTGCTTTCCCAAGTCATAACAGAGAACTGGATCAGAAGTGGCGCAGCCAGGACTAGAACCGGTGCCCATATGTGATGCCACCGCCACAGGCCACAGCTTAGCCCGCTACACCACAGTGCTGGCCCCATGGATGATTCTCCCTTAGAAAGAAACAGCCTGTGTCTGGGGCACGGACCTTGACCCCAGCTCCTTCAGGTGTCTTCCAAGGACCCGCGCTGGGCTTTCTGCTTGCTCTGCTGCACAGTGGGATAGGCTGAGGCTCCGGCCAACTGCTGGGGGAGGCGGGGGGAGAGCACCCCGCCCCATGTGAGGGCCCCTGAGGAACCAACACTTGCTACGTGATCCCTTAGGAACCGGAGGACCCCAGCCGGGGCTAGTGGCTGTGGTGTCCTTTGTAAGGTTTCTAAGGCGTCTGAGTTTGGGCGGCTTTCTCTTTTCAGGCTTAGGAAAGTAGAGAAAAGAATTGAGTAATTTCTGCATTCTTAAAAAAAATACAAAAAATCTATACTCTCCACACTTTGCTTAGGGGGCGCAAGGGCAGCCGGTACCGAAGTGCTTCGGTGCAAAGCCTCCACATGTGCCTGGGCACCAGAGGAGTCGCAGGGCTGCCCTTCCAGCTTCTGCAGAGACAAAGGACAAAACACAGTCCCCAGGCGGTCGACAGGCACCGCGAGCCTCCGGAGTACTTGGTGAGATGCCGGGTGACCACGCCGTGATCAGTCGCCATCTCTCTGCCCCTGCGGGTTTAGGTACGGTTCCTGGAGCAGCAGAATAAGCTCCTGGAGACCAAGTGGAGCCTCCTGCAAGAGCAGAGATGTGCCAGCAGCAACCTGGAGCCTCTCCTTGAGAACCACATCAGCAGCCTGCGCAGGGAGCTGGACGGCCTCATCAGCGACCAGGCTCGGCTCCAGGCCGAGAGGAACCACACGCAGAACGTCCTGGAAGGCTTCAAGAGGAAGTGAGTGGTGTGTGCACTGCACAGGCCAAGGACAGGCCCCCGGCCAGCCCAGAGCTGCGGCCAGGCTCAGACGAGAGAGCAGCCGCAAAGACCTGGCTTGAACGTTGGTTACAGTGCCCAGCCTGGGAGCAGGAGTGGGGACGGCGCCCTGGGAAGAGGTGTATGTGGGGGTGTGGGAGAGACACTTGTGTATGCAATCCTGGATGCAGCTGGGGGGTGGGGGTGCGGAGGGGCTTGAGAGGGTCGCTGGGGGCATTGGGAGTGACCGGCTCTCCGATCAGTGTGAGAGCTCACCCTCTTCGCCCTGGCCACCCCAGGTATGAAGAGGAGGTGGGCTTCCGGGCCAATGCTGAGAACGAGTTCATAGCTCTGAAGAAGGTAAATGGAGGCAACAGGTGCCCAGCAACTTCCCAAGACAGACCAGGTCCTCAAGACCCGCCCCCCCACCCCACCCCACCCCACCCCACCCCACCCTACCCCACCCTACCCCACCCCACCCCACCTGCGCCCGGGAAAGCACCTGCTCGCTCGGCCACGGCGGGACCCCAAAGACCACACAGCAGGTTCCCCTCTGATGTGGCCTCGGATTATTTAGGATTGGGTCCCACGGGAGCATCTCGGACAAGGTGTCTTGGATTCTCTCGTTTTTCCTTGCCGCTAAATAAGCACCGGCCAGCGCCCAGCCGGCACAGGGGCAGTTCTCACGCTGCAGGGGGCATAGGGAAGCAAATCCACAGAGCCTCACTCCCACCCGATGACACCAGCACCATTCCTATCAGCCTGTTGTAGGGCTTGGCTCCCCGGGAACTGGCCTGCTCCCCGCACTCAGCTCCAGCGCCTCCCCTGCCTGCGGGGGAAAGCTGAGCAGAACATGGAGAGAGCGTGTCTTCTCTCTCTCACACAGACTGTGGACGCGGCTTTCCTGGGGAAGTCGGACCTGGAGGCCAACATGGATATCCTGACGCAGGAGCTGCACTTCCTAAGGGCGCTGTTTGCGGAGGTGAGGCCGACCTCCTCCAGGCCCCCGCCCGCCACCCCGCCCCCAGGAGCTGGGCTCTGAGCTGATGTGTTGCAAGCCATCCGCATCCTGCATCTTCCCTCCCACTCAGATTGATGTATCCCCCGTGGCGAGGCGCCTGCCGGGCAGGAGCTAAGGGAGGCAGCTTCTCGGGGGCCTGACTCATGTCTGAGCAAACGCCTTTGTGGCCCAGCAAAAACAGCTGGGTTCTAGGAATGTCCCTTCCAAGGAATGTTCTAGAAACGTCCGTCCTTCAGGAGGCACTAACAAATCCTCGTGTTTGACCTAATCACCCAGCTCCCTTCTGCTTTGTTCATGAGCTATTGGGTCTCTTATGGCCCTGGGCAGGGCTGACCTGCAGCCCCCAGGGACCAGGCTGCCAAGCCCTTGGCCTTGCCCACAGTTCCCAGCCCTTGGTTCTATTAAGGACCTGGGATGCAGGTGTTAGTAGCTGATCATCTTCTAAAATCCGGCCAGTTTGCGGGGGGCCATAACCAGCACAACCACTCTGAGTGACCCCAAGAGGAGCTCCCGCCGGCCCCCATGAGATCCCTGGGATTTTGATGGGCTCCTAATTGAGGCAGCTGTTGGAGAAACAGCCCCACATATGGAACAAAGGTTCTGCAGGCAGGCGCGCACTCTCTCACTCGCTCGCTCTCGCTCTCTCTGCTCTCGGCTTGAGACCTCTCTCTGCTCTGAGCCAGTGAGTAGGCAATGTTCTTTGCCCCTGACTCCACAACCTGGGGCCCCTGTGCCGGACCCTGTCTGAGCCCCTCCGTGGTGCCGATTCTCCAACACAGGAGACCCAGCTGCTGCAGTCCCATGGCTCGGAGACCTCGGTGGTAGTGAAGATGGACAACAGCCGGGACCTGAATCTCGACGGCATCATCGCAGAAGTCAAGGCCCAATATGAGGAGGTGGCCAGGCGCAGTCGGGCGGATGCCGAGGCCTGGTACCACAACAAGGTGGGCAAGAGGAGGCAGCCTCTGGGAGGGGCCTGGTGCAGGTCGAGGGCCCCAATTTAGTGGGGGCCTGACATTTGTACTCTACCCCACCAGTACGAGGAGATGCGGATGACAGCTGGCCAGCACCGGGACAACCTGCGCGTCACTCGCAACGAGATCAACGACCTGAGCCGGCTGAAACAGAGGCTGAAGGCAGAAGTGGAGCACACCAAGGCACAGGTGTGCAAAGGAGGGCGAGGACCCGAGGGAGGACAGGCAGGGCCCCACGACTGCCAAGGTGAGGGCGACAGAAGCAGAGGAATGGTGGGATCAGTCTGGGAAGGCTTCCTGGAGGAAGCAAATATGGGGGGAGGGCCAGCTTCCCATATAGGATAAGGCCTGTCTGGAGCTGACTCAGAGGGGAGGGGAGGCAGACAGAATAGGTTTGCTCTCCGGAACCCTAGGGTCTAGGGCAGCAGAAATTGGGCAGGGCAAAGTCGAGGGAAAATAGCAAAGCCATGCTCCGCTTCCCTGCCAGTCATGTCAAACTACAGGTCTCCGGGAAGCAGCCTCCAGGAGCTCCCTCCCAGGCGCCGCAGGAGGCTGTGTTCCCACCAACAGTGGGCAGCGTCTGTAGCGCCGCCACCCTGGGGGGTCTCCATGCACCTGCAAACTTCCCTCCCTACAGCGCGCCAGGCTAGAAGCCGCGGTGGCCGAGGCGGAGCAGCAGGGCGAGGCGGCCCTGAGCGACGCCGGCTGCAAGCTGGCCGAGCTGGAGGCCGCCCTGCAGCGGGCCAAGCAGGACCTGGCCCGGCAGCTGCGCGAGTACCATGAGCTCATGAACGCCAAGCTGGGCCTGGACCTCGAGATCGCCACCTACCGGCGGCTGCTGGAAGGCGAGGAGAGCCGGTGAGCATACCCAGCTGGGCAGGGCAGGATGGGTGGGCTGCTGCCTGGAGGCGGCTGGCATGCTGGAGGGTGCCAGGCCAAGAAGGGTTGACCCGAGCCTCTCCCAGAGGGGGCAGTGCCTCTATGCCCTTGCCAGGGCTGCAGACTTGTACCTCTTAAATGCTGGTGCGTGCACTGGCTGGCCAGATCTGCAGGCGGTTTTTGCCTGGTTGGTTCCTTTGGTGCGATCAGCAATAAGAATACATTTCCTCAAGTGTTTCAACATGGTCATTTTGGGGTAGAGTGGAGGAATATGTCATTTTTCAAAGCTCGGTGGTCTTGGGTACAGCTAGGGGGTGCAACCACTGGGCCCTGGGCTACCCAAAAAGAAACCCTATTTGAAAGCGCTGAGTCCTCTCTCTCTCTCTGCAGGATCTGTGAAGGTGTCGGACCCGTGAACATATGTGAGTGACCTGAGGCGTTCCCTCTTCACACACTTCCGTAATTTCAGGGGCATTTCAGCTTGGGAGTCCATGGACTTCCACGATGGCCGGAATGACCACAGCTGTCAGGAGAGCAAGGACCCTCCGACCCCTTAGCTGAGGTCCCAGGTCACGCCCAGAGCCTGCCTTCCCCAGAGAGAGGCGTGCACAAAGGTGCAAAGCTCACCACGTGGCAGAGTGCCCTGGGAGACAGCGTCCACTTGGGGACAGCAGACAACGAATGATCCTGCGACTCAGACTCGAGCAAGGCTGGGGTGGTGGGAAGGGGTCTGGTGAGAAGGCAGGACGTAAGGAGAGCGCCCTTAGATTCAGCCGGATTCAAGTTCCGGCATGGGGTGGGCGTGTCCGGCGCGGACCGGGGTGGGGCTGGGGTACAACAGATCGGAGCCTCCCGGAGGTCAGAGGGGACTGATGAGGAGCTCGTGCTGGGCCTGGGGCTTCCTGGACACAGCAGAGACAAGCCCGTGGCCTTTTGGGGGCTCCTGCCCCGGGCCGCACCGGCAATCAGGTTCACATAACCCAGCCCGCTTGGACTTGATGCGGGCGGCAGCCGCCGTGCAGCGACCCGCCAGCACTGGAGGGAATGGGCTGGGCGCTTCCGACAAGCTGAAAGTGGAGGTTTGCTCTGGGTGGAGGCCCGGTCTCTGAGCCCCCAGACAAGAGGCGGGACAGCAGGCACCACATCCTGGCATCAACCTACTTTTTGGTTTTTATCCCGCAGCCGTGAGCAGCTCCCGGGGCGGCCTGCTGTGCGGGCCTGAGTCCTCGGTGGCCAGCTCCACCCCCACCCGCGGCGGGGTCACCTTCTCAGGCAGCAGCGGTGTCCACACCACCACGGGCACGGCCTCTACCCCCAGCAGCCCCTGTCCCCTGGCCACAGAGGGCGGCTTTAGCAGCCACAGCTCCAGTGTCCGCTTTGCGTCCACCACCACCTCCCACCGGACCAAATACTAAGAGCCCAGACAGCCGCTGGCCAGAGAAGACCCAGGCCGTGGACTCAGTCGCCCCTTCTGCCAGGACGTGGCTGTCTCATCCGCAGCCGCAGCCGGCTGGCCTGCCCCTCCCCCCCTTGCTCGGGATCGCAGGATTCCAGTCTCGGGGGAGAAGGGGGACCAGTTCAGCACCTTAAAGAAAGCCTCAGGCTACCATCTGCATCTGTGGTTTCGGACCAGCCTGGAGGTGCGACCCAGCCCTGCATCTTTCTCTCTCCCTCCTCTTCCTCTCCCCGATTTCTAGCTCTTTCTTCTCCTCCTGACCCAGGAGGATCCACAGGTCCCGGAGCTCCAGAGACTGTTCTTCCCCCAGTAGCTGATGTCCTGGTTGCCTCTCTCTGGGTGTGCGAATCCACGGGGCGGGTGGTGTGGGGGGAGGGGGCAGGGGAGAGGGGGTCTGCAGGGCGGCCTGAGCCTCTGCCCGAGTTGGTCGGGGGAGGGTTTTCCTCTGCCGGCTGCTGTAGGCCTGGGGAGTGGAGCGTGGTGCCCCTGTGTGTTCCCGTGCTTGCAATAAACTTGCCCGGCCAGCTCTGTGACAGCCCCGGCCTCTCCTTGGACACCAGACAGCAACGCTAGACTGCCCCAGCCCCGTCTGCCACCACCGAGGCCTCGCCAAAAGCAGGGGTGGGGGCCCTGGGCACTGAGGAGGAGGGGCAAGCCTTCCCTGGCTCACAGCACTGCGGGTTCAGCCCCATGGCCCCCACCCTGACTCGCAGAGAAGGAAGGCGCCCTCCTGCTAACCATGGGGAACAACTTCCCACAGTTCCCCAGGTTCCAGCCTGCAGCCAGGTGCCCTGGGATCCCTGCAGGGAATCCCCACCCCGTCCCCCACCCCCACTCTTGTCCCGTCTGACTCACTGATCCTGATTCTGCCAGAGATGTCTTTCCCACACAGAAACCAGCCCTGGCTCTCCCCGATCACAGTTCCTGGGAGGGCACTGGGCACTTGCCCCATGGCCTTCTAGAAGCAGCCAAAGCTCTTGACATGGTGTAAAAGACCAGTGTGGGTGCTGGTGTTGTGACGCAGCAGGTAAAAGCCGCCACCTGCAGTGCTGGCATCTCATATGGGCTCTGGTTCGAGTCCCGGCTGTTCCACTTCTGATCCAGCTCTCTGCTATGGCCTGGGAAAGCAGTGGAAGATGGCCCAAGTCCTTGGGCCCCTGCAACCATGTGGGAAACCCGGACAAAGCTCCTGGCTCCTGGCTTCAGTCTTGTCCATCAATGGCTGTTGCAGCCATCTGGAGAGTAAACCAGGAGATGCAAGATCTCTCTCTCTCTCTCTCTCTCTCTCTCTCTCTCACACACACACACACACACATACACACACACACACACACATACACACACACACACACTGCCTCTCAAATAAATAAATAAAATATCTTCAAAAAAAAAAAAAAGACCTGTGTTATATGCCCAACCCCTGGCATCCCACCACCAGCCTCTCCTTTAAAAAATTATTTATTTATTTGAAAGGCAGAGATACAGAGAGAGAAGGAGAAAGAGAGAGGTCTTCCGTCCACCGGTTGATCCCCAAACAACTGCAATGGCTGGAGCTGGGCCAGGCTTAAACCAGGAGCCAGGAGCTTCTTCCATGTCTCCCACATGGGTGCAGGGGCCCAGGGACTTGGGCCATCTTCCGTTGCTTTCCCAGGCCATTAACAGGGAGTAGAATTGGAAGTGGCGCAGCCAGGACTTGAACCTGTGCCCATATGGGACGCCGGCACTGCAGGTAGGGGCTTTACCTTCTATGCCATAGCGCCAGCCCCTGGCTCGCCTCTTTTATTCATTCATTCAACAAACCTTTGGTAAGTGCCTGTCACCTGCCAGGCACGATGCTGGGAAAACAATAGTGGATGAGTTTCTGTCTGCATCTGGTAGATGGATGGGCACACAAGCAATTATGACCTGGCATGCTTAGTGCTGTGCTGGGCATAAAGGCAAAGCCCCAGTACAGAGAGGACAGGCCCAGCCCAGACTTGTGGCATCGTTAGAAGCTTCCTGAAGAATGAGATGTCCCAGCAGAGAAGCAGAGGACGATGAATTAGTCACAGACGAGGAAGCCGTGTCCCAAATAGAAGCAGCAGTGTGTGCAAAACCAAGGAGACAGCATAACAAGTCTGGGGCTGTGGCTAGGGGCGAGGGCAGGACGTCATAGCAGGTGGGGACCGGGGCCAGCCAGGGCGTGCTCACACCAACACCCTGGACACAGCCCCAGGAGGGCGCCCGTCCCTCGTGGGAGCTGCTCGCTGGTCAGCCGCACCCCGAGACAGCCCTTGTCACAGAGCAGGAAGCACACGTCTCATCATTGTGTGTCCTGCCCAGGCACCTGCAGGCTCTCCTGCTTCCAGCCTCAGGCCCGCCTACTGTCCCGCGCTCCCCACTTCCTGCCTAGTCTCCCGCACTGCAAAGCTGTGTTAGGAAAACACCGCGCGGAGAATTTTGGCAAAACTGTCCCCCGATTGTGTTTCTCAGCGGCATGGTTGAAGGACCCTTGTATTAAGCTTTTGCTGCTCAAGTTGCTGTGGGGGACTGGCTCCTGATTGGTTCCTGATTGGTTCCTGATTGGCCCCTGATGACAGCTTCCAGCTCCTCAAGCCAGGCCCCGCCCCGACACCAGACCCTAGGCCCCAGGCTCCAGGTCTTCTCTCTCTGCTCTCCCCCCAACACAGAGGATCTCACCCGGTCAGCTCTGTGGGTCCAGATACTGTCCACGTACATGCCAAGGGCTCCGGAGGTTCTATCTCCCGCCCACAGGCTGGGACATACAGGTTTGCTTCCCCATGGTGTGGCCAAACGTGCGTCTCAGACTAAACCCACGTCTGCAAACCACCCCTCGGCTTCCTCTCCAGGCTGCTCCCTCCACGTCCTTGGCAATTCCACGCTGAAGCCCAGAAACTGTGGAGTGGTCTTGGACGCCTCTCTCTCTCTCTCTCGCATCCCCACGCTGAATCCACCGGCGGCAGCTCCATCAGCTTGAGCATAACCCAGCTGGCTGCCTCTTTCCCCCTGCGTGCCTCCCACTCACTGCCTTCCAAGGGAGAAGCTGAAACAGCAGTGGGGCCTGGGCCAGGCTGATTCCCTCTAAAAACCTAACAAAGCAAGGACCCGAGCCCAGCCCACAGCATGGCCACACATCCAGGCTCCAGTCAGAAATGACAGTGACAGGTGACCAATAGTCCCAGGGAAGAGGAAATCAGCAGAGGCTGGAGCGGCCGTGCGAGGACTTCAAAGCACTGGGGTAACCATGTCCTATACAATAAAGGCAAACACATCTGAAATGAATACATGGGAGAGATTCTCACTTGGGAGCACCAGTTTGAGTCCTGGCTGCTCTGCTTTCCATCCAAGTCCCTGCTTATGCACCCAGGAAAGCAATGGAGAATGGCCCAAGTCCCTGGGCCCCTGCACCCACACGGGAGACCTGCATGGACATCCAGGCTCCTGGCTTCAGCCTGGCCCAGCCCCAGCTGTTGTGGCCATCTGGGGAGTGAACCAGTGGATGGAAGATCTCTCTCTCTCTCTGTCTCTCCTTCTCTGTCTGTAACTCTATCTTGCAAATAATTAAAATGAATAAATAAGTAAATAAATAAATCTGCAAATCCAAGCTGGCTCTGGTATTCCATGTGGAATGTCCCAAAATTATTAAAAACAGAAAAAGAAAAAAATTCACAAATAACCCAGAGATAGTAAGAGGGGGTGTTAGAAAAACAAAACAAAGGACCAAAAAGAAACCAATGAAAAATGATAGAGCCGCAGGAAACCTCATAAATTATTACTGATAATGGACAAAGTCATCCACACACAGCGAGGATCAGGCCTCCTGTACCCAGGTGAGGCCCAGGATCTGTGAGCCTGCGCATGCGCCCGGCAACAGGGACCAGCTTCAGGCCTCCCGTCCTGCCCTCGATGACTCGTGTCGTTATCAGCCGACCTGGCGGAATCAACATTTCCAGAACCTACTTACCCAAAATGGGGAAATGCTTGCTCTTTCCAAGCGTCGGCGGACCACCGCCACCAAGACTGCCCCCCCCCCCAGTCAGTGGTCTCTGGAGTGGACGATGTAGTTTCAACCTCTTAACAATGAGAACTTCAGAGGAAGAGAGGGGCGTCTGCCAAGGATTCGAGAAAGGATTCAGCCCAGATTCCTCCCAAGCATCTAAGAGGCGGGGACATCTCCCAAGTCAGAATCAGCCACCGACAGTAGAAGAAATCTGGAAATCAGTTTCTCTGTATTTTTAGATATGCATAAAATTCTCCACAAAGTATTGGTAAATTCAATACAGCAAGAGACTCTCTGTATCATAACCAAGTAGCAGTTACCCTAGGAATGCAAGGCTGGTTCAACTTTCTTTTTTTTTAGATTGTGTTTATTTGAGAGGTAGAGTTACAAAGAGAGGGAGAGACAGAGAGAGATGTCTTCCACCTGCATGTTCACTCCCCAAAGAGCTGCAATGGTCAGAGCTGGGCCGATCCAAAGCCAGGAGCCAGGAACTTCTCCTGGGTCTCCCACGTGGGTGCAGGGGCCCAAGCACTTGGGCCATCTTCTACTGCTTTCCCAGGCCATAGCAGACAGCTGGATCAGAAGTGGAGCAGTCGGGACACGACCAGTGCCCATATGGGATGCCGGCACTGCAGGCAGAGGCTTTATCCACTACCCCATAGTGCTGGCCCCTGGTTCAACTTGCAAGAATCTGCTCATGTAATTCTTGATGACAAGAAAAACAATGAGATTAACTTAACAGATGTGTGGAAAGTTAACATCTATTCCTGAGTCAAAAACAAAAGCTCTCAGCTAACCAGGAACAGAAGGGCGTTTCCATCACTTGGTTACTGGCATCTACAAAGAGTGCTTTGTCTCCAACTCGGAGAACCGGATAAGGATGCCTGCTCATGCATGCTCCCCGTGGCCAACGTTGTACAGGCCGGTGGGGGAGCCAAGAGGAAGACATGAAAGTGCGTGGGGGGCCTCCGCTGTGGCATAGTGGGTAAAGCCGCCGCCTGCAGTGCCGGCATCCCATGTGGGCGCTGGTTCAGTTCCCGGCTGCTCCACTTCTGATCCAGCTCTCTTCTGGCCTGGGAAAGCAGTAGAAGATGGCCCAAGTCCTTGGGTCCCTGCACCCACATGGGAGACTTGGAAGAAGCTCCTGGCTCTTGGCTTCGGATCGTTGCAGCTCCAGCTGTTGCGACCAAGTAGGGAGTGAACCAGTGGATGGAAGACCTCTCTCTCTCTTTCTCTCTCTCTGTCTGCATCTCCTTCTCTCTGTGTGTAACTATTTCAAATAAATAAATAAATAAATCTTAAAAAAAGTGCACAGGTTGGAAAGGATGACACAGACCCGTTCCTGTTTTCAGAAGCCATAATTTTCTACGTAACAAACCCTGAGATCTTTTTTGTTTCCAAAGCTACCCTAGGAAGAGTTCGTGAACTAAGGAAGGATGTGGATGCAAAGTCGGTAGGCAGAGATCGTGAGCGCATCTGTGTACTTCCCACGCACGGCTGGAAATCCAAAACAATGTTAAGGTATAATTTGCAAGGCCACCCGAAAAAGTAAAACACTTCACTCTACGACTTCACCTCAAAGAAAATAGCAACTAGTTATTATGCACCTACTGCGTGCCAGGCTGTGTGGTAAGCACTTCCTGTGCTCCTACTGTGTGCCAGGCAGATGTGTGGAAAGACTGTGGTATGTGCAGATCCAAGTTCAATCTCAAGTTCACTCATGAGCTATGTGGCAGCGAGACTTGGCGTACCCCAGGGCTTTTCGTATCTTAGCTCATGTTATTCTCCCAAGACCCCTGGGGGAGGCATGCTGTTGTTAGTTTCCATTTGACAGATGAGAACTGAACTGAGTGTGGAAGCAGAGGCCTGGACTCCTGAGCCCCCGCGTGTCGCCACCATGCGCGCTCGCCTGTCATTCACAATAAAGCCTCCTGCCTCATTGGTGAAACGGAAAATCATGGTCTGCCTCCAAGAGTTGTGGAGATGGCACACAGTAGGTGCACAATAAGTGCTTAGCATGCAGCCTGAACATACTAGGTGCATAAGTACTTAGCATGCAGCCTGGCACACAGTGGGTGCATAATAAGGAGCAGTGGTGGTGCTGTTTGCCTTTTCACTATTCGCAGAAGATCTTGTGGTCAGCATGTAGACCCCACCCCACCCCCACCCCACCCCCCCAGCCCCGTGCACAGGTGGATGAGGGAGAGACCTGGCCCTTTTCTGCCGCCTCCTGGCCATTTCCCGCCTCCACCCAGGCACTGGAGACCTGCCTGTCGGGCAGGCCGCGCCTCTGCCAAGACAGCTGCGGGGGGTTGCTGCCCTCTGCTGGTCGCTGAGTTCAGCGCCGGCTGTAGGCAGCACTGACTCTATGATACAGCAAGGGAAAAGACGAGAGGCTACCAGGACAAATAGAAAATGCAGCCTAAGGCAGGAAAGACCTGCGAGGGGTTCTGAATCCTGTGATTTCCAAGCTGGGGGTGCTCGTCGGGGCCCCAGGGCATCTTAGCCCCAACCTCAGACACACCCTTCACCGTGCATGGACGCTTCAGTGGACAGTACCCACACCGTTCCTGCTCCCAGCAAGTGCTCTTAGGGGCTGGGGAGAGAAAGCCCATAATCGATGGACAGAAAGAGTCAATTCTAGGGTTGCCAGTGGGTATCAGGTACCGTGGAATAAAGCAGAAAGCCTTGGGGGGGGGCAGGCTGCAGTTCTAGAAAGGAGACTTAGGGAGGGGGTGTTTGAGCAAACGCTGCAGCAAGCCTTGTGGCGGAGGGAAGAGGCGGGGAGCAGGAGAGATGGAAGGTGTCAAGGCCCTGAGGCAGGCGCGTGCCTTGTGTGCCCCAGGGGCAGCAGGGGGCCTGCTCAGGGGCTGGGAACAGAGACGAGGAGGAAGGAGACAAGGGGAGAGAGGCGACACTGACACAGGGCACGTGGGGCCTCGCCAGCTAGGACTCTGGGTGAACGAACGGTGGTCCCTGGGGGGCGCTCTGAGCAGAGGAGGGACGAGGCCCAACCTTGTGTTGCCAGCGGCTTCTCCTGAGTGGGCCAGGCATGAGCAGGGGCACTGGCATGAGAGCCTTTGCTTTCTTTTATGATTTATTTACTTGAGAGAGAGGTCTTCTATCTGCTGGTTCACTCCCCCAAGTGGCTGCAGGGCTAGGCCAGGACAAAGCCAGGAGCCAGGAGCTTCTTCCAGGTCTCCCACGCGGGTGCAGGGGCCCAAGCACTTGGGCCATCTTCTACTGCTATCCCAGGCCATAGCAGAGAGCTGGATCGGAAGTGGGGCAGCTGGGACTCCAACTGGCGCCCATATGGGATGCCAGCACTGCAGGCGGCGGCTTTAACCGCTGCACCACACACCAGCCCCAGCCTGGCAATCTTCTCAGTCCTGGAACTAAATATGGGAATGAAGACATGGCTGTGCCCCGCGGGACCTCTGCTCTGGCCCCCAGCAGCCGCAGGGTGGGCACCAGGCTCCCTTCCAGGGAAGCTGCCCAGGAGAGGCCCAGGAGGAGAGCGAGGAGACACACCCTGCCACACCCTACCACACCCTGGGGAAGGGAAGGTTGGCTCACCCAGCAGCTCCCACCCTCACTCCACCTGCACTGCATCTCCAGATCACACCCACGTCTTGGCAAAGCCAAAGAAGGGGCTTCGAGACTGCAAGTCTCCCACAACGGGGGTGGGGAGGGTGCAGACCCAGCAGGGGGCATAGTTTGGGTGCAAAATGTTCAGTGTGGCTGGTAGAGCTGAAGGGTGGGGTTCAACCTCTACCAGCCGGGAGGCAGGCCCTGTCCCTGGGCAGCTCATCAGGGTTGACCCAGGAGAACCAGCCTGCCAGGAAGGGTAACGAGATGGCCCATGGGAGCCCAGGCAGAGACAAGCAGGGAACTGGATGAGCCAACAGGGCAGGGCCAGCGAAGGTGTCAGTGTTCTCTGACAAACCCAGGAAGGCTTCCTGGAAGCAGGGGGGTTTTATGCCCAGCAGAAGGAGCAGAAGGAAAGGGAGGTAGTAAGCCTCCGGTGTGGGGAAGAGAGCAAGCCCAGCTCAGGTAAAGCAAAGGAGAGGCTGTGCCATGCAGGTAGGGCTGAGGGCAGAGCCCAGGAAATGTGCCTGGGTGCGGAGCAGACTCGGGGCAGGTCCTAGGGGTTGCCTGGGCCTCCTGGGTCAGGTAAAGAACCCCTCTCACCCAATGAGCTCCCGAGGGCTTCTCGGAAGAGGTGGCCTCTTCAAATCATGGGAAGGTCATGGACTCTGGGTTGGACATTCCTGATACTGGGGGGGTGGCTTCAAAAAGATGGGGGCAGGAGGGGCCGGGACCAAAGCGGGGTGATGCATAGGAGCACCCAGGACAGGAGGGCGTGGATGGGGGTGACTGGATTTCCCCTCGGGCCCCAGAGGGCTTTTTATGAGACAGCAAGGAGGAGAATTCACAGCCTCCCTCTCCCCAGTCCCAGGAAGGCTTCCTGGAAGAGGCAGCCATTTGTTCAGGGACATTCCAGGGAGAAGGCTTGGGCATGGGGAGGAGAGAGAGAGAGAGAGAGAGAGAGAGAGAGAGAGAGAGAGAGAGAGAATGTGTGTTCAGGGCAAGGCAAAGTTTCCATGCCCTCCCGCCCCCGAGCAGAGACAGAAATGGATCAGGTTCCATCCTCTCCAACAACCTGGAGGGAGCAGAGCTGTCAGAGGGGGGTGGAGGGCAGCTGAGCAGAGGGGCCCCATCTTCCAGCTCCCACATTCCAGCGCACCCCACCCTGGCTAGGCAGGTCAGGAACTCACTGTCCGCAGCCCCAGCCGCCACCCCTCTGGGTCCCGGCAGAGGGAGGAGCCTGGCGCATCCCCCCACCCCCACCCCCGACCGTGTTGCACCCTGAGCCTCTCTCTCTCCACCCCCAGACTCCACCCAGAGATTTTACGCAAGTGAAATCAGGTTAAAGAAGACATGAAACGCAGCCTTGAAAGGGCCAGGAGGTCTTAAAGTTGCAACGGAAGTAAGGGGCGTGGGAGAACCAGGAGCAACTCGGGCTGCGGGGCCCTTCCCTCCCCACAGTCCCCGACGCTCATTCTAAACCACCTCAAGGTCAAGGACATGGAAAGTCTGAGAGATCGGGGACTTCCCGGAGGCCGGGGGCGGGGGCTGCTGTACCCAGCGGCTTCCCCACGGAGACTGGATCCGAAGCTCTCCCAGGACCAGCAGCGGAGGCTCCTCTTCCGCCGCTGGCTGTGCCTGGTCTCTCTTCCTTGTCCACTTTCAACAACAGGGGCGGGCGGTGGAGGTACCAGCCAGGTGAGGACCCCCCGACAGAACACGGGGTGTTCCAGCGAGGCCTCATGCTTAGGGTAGCGGCTCCGTGGCAGCAACTGGGTTCCGGAGGGCTCCCTGGAGGAGGAGGAGGAGGCCCCCCTGAGGATGCTCAATGGTTCTACCCTAAATCCCTGATACCTGGGGTCTAGCTCACCTAGGTTTGTGCTCAGAAAACAGGACAAAAAAAAAGGGGGGGGGAGGATCATTACCCTAGTAAGTGGCCCAAGGCCACGCACGGAAGCAAGGTCAGATGGCAGAGGTTCCCGGAGCCAGTGCTCAGGGGAAGACGGAGGTGGAGGCCCAAAGGCCAGGGCCAGGTCACAGCGGCCAGCTGTCCCGAACCTAGGTTCACCCATCCTGGTGGCCACATGGAAGAAAGTGGCTAAAGAGAGGCCTCCCTGTGACCCACAAGTGGTCATTTGTGTGGCCACTGAGAGTTGAGTGCGTTGCACTTTGGCTGGGTGAGATACAGACACTTGGCCACACAGCCTTCTGGGCTGGAATCTAGAAGGTTCCAAGACAGCATCTTTGATCTGTAGGGGCTGTGGCCGGGAGGACCCTTGTGGTCCTGAGCCACCTGCCAGGCCATGCCGTGGCCTCTTCTGATCCACCACACCTAAAGCACCGTATCCTGCACAAAGCCAGGCAGGTGGCAGCCATGAGGTCCCCGGCTCTCATCCACCCTGGGACACCCCACCCCACCCCACTCCGAGACCCCGAACTGTTGTGGAGTTCAAGTTCGTCTCCAAGTGTGGGCTGGGGCCGTCTCCCAGAGAGACTGTGAGGTGATTAATTACTGAATGTATGTAAACGAGCTTTGAAGATGAAAGTGCAAACACCGCTCCCCTATTAACATCCCCGGCACCGCTCGGAGCCGGAGCCGCCGCTGAGTTCACCTTTAAGAGGAGTCTTTGGGGAGTTGCTGGCAAACTCCCCAAGCCAATAAACAACATAAAATGGCTTTTCACTCCTTTTATGCCGCCAACCCCAGCTCTCCCCACCAATAAAAGGAGCAGGCAGGAACGGAGGAGCAAGGATCCCAAGCTCACACTCAACAGCCTCCACGCAGAGAGTCCCCCCGCCATGTCGTGCCGCTCCTACAGGATCAGCTCAGGATGCGGGGTCACCAGGAACTTCAGCTCCTGCTCCGCCGTGGCCCCCAAAACCGGCAACCGCTGTTGCATCAGCGCCGCCCCCTACCGGGGGGTGTCCTGCTACCGAGGGCTCACCGGCTTCAGCAGCCGTAGCCTGGGTAACCTGGGCTCCGGCGGGCCCCGCATGGCCGTCGGGGGCTTCCGCGCCGGCTCCTGCGGACGCAGCTTCGGCTACCGCTCGGGCGGCGTGTGCGGGCCCAGCGCCCCCTGCATCACCACCGTGTCTGTCAACGAGAGCCTCCTGACGCCCCTCAACCTGGAGATCGACCCCAACGCGCAGTGCGTGAAGCACGAGGAGAAGGAGCAGATCAAGTGTCTCAACAGCAAGTTCGCCGCCTTCATCGACAAGGTCGGTGTCCTGGATTGTGCCTTGCCTGAATCCCAAGGTCGGTGGGGCAGAGGAGACCCCCGGCCCCGCCCGCCATCGGGTTTGGGGACCCGCAGAGGGAAAGAAACGCACAAGGACAGTTCTGCGTGGAGAATTCCAGATTGAGGCCCAGGGGTGGCTGGGAAATTGAGTCTGTGGTCTTCAGGAGCGGTGTGAGGAGCCAAGACCCCCCCGGCTGTCCCTGAGACACTGGACCAGGCCGCCGGCTGCTGGCACAGAGGGTGACAATGGGGAGGGGGAGAACCATGGGCCTCATGGCCAGGGCAGCACATGCTCTGAGCCGTGCTGCCTCCGCAGGTCCCTGCTGCACCTGTCAGTAGTGTGAGATCTCCCCGCCCCCAGGGACAGATCAGCCATCATGGTGACAGCTGATGTCTCATCAGCTTGTGAGGGCGAGGCGACAACAGTTAACCAACTTGGCGGGCTTCTCTGCAGGCTGGGAGGATCTGGGGTGGGGCAGGTGTTCTATCCCCACTTTCCAAACCACGAGCTGGGGTGGAGAGTTTAAATGAGCAGCTCACATGCGCAAGGTGGGCAGGCGATGGTGGGGGAAGGGGACCTGCAGGACGTGGAATCCAGACTCCGCCCACATCATCCCCGCTGTGGGACACAGGGAAAGTGGAGGATGGGGTGGAAGTGATGGGTGTGGATAGACAGAGAGACAGAGACAGAGACAGAGACAGAGACGGAGACAGGTCGTGCGAGCGGTGAGCGTGTATCAGCACAGACCCGTAGACCCGGTAAACAGTCGGCGTGTCTGCTGCAGAAATGAATTAACGAAGGGCAGCTGGTAATTATGTTAATAGGTCAATTGCCTGGGCCCTCAGCCCATGCCAGGAACAGTTCTAAGCCCTTTGCATATCTTAACGGGCTCCGGTGCCATCATAACTCTAAGCTGGGTACTATTATCTCCACTTTAGAGAACAGTGGGCAACAAGGGGTTAAACAACCCACCCACGGAAAGTGGCAGGACCTGGATGCTCTCTGTCACCCACCCCCCACGACTGCCTTCTGGGGGGTGCCGTGGGGCGGAGGAGGAGGACGGGGAGACAGAGCTCCAGACGTGTACCCCCTGTCTCTGAGGGCAGAGAGGGCTCTGGGGGCACCTGCCAGGCTCCCCTCACTCCCTCCCCAACCCTGAGTCTCTTTCCTCCACCCCGGATGGCAGGTGCGCTTCCTGGAGCAGCAGAACAAGTTGCTGGAGACCAAGTGGCAGTTCTATCAGAACCAGCGCTGCTGCGAGAGCAACCTGGAGCCGCTGTTCAGTGGCTACATCGAGACGCTGCGGCGGGAGGCCGAGTGCGTGGAGGCCGACAGCGGGCGGCTGGCCTCCGAGCTCAACCACGTGCAGGAGGTGCTGGAGGGCTACAAGAAGAAGTGAGTGTGGCCGGATCCCGGGGAGCCCTGGGGAGAGCTGAGGCTTCCACCCACGGCCCTTGTTCAGTGCCCTTCCACAGAGGAGCTTGGGACCACGGGCAGGTGCCTAGGGGGTGGGGTGGGAGGCTTGGTTTTTGCCAATTCCTTGCTCCACCTCCACCCCGTGGGGGCTCTGGCGTTCCAGGGGTCAGGAAAGGAAACCCAGGGAGGCCGGCAGCTGTCCACAGACCCTGCCCTCTCCAGCTTCCCTGTGTGGTGCAGGCTCTGAGCCCCGCCCTGCAGGTAGCACCTGCTCTGTCTGGACATAGGAGGCACAGACGACCTAAGAGCTCTTGTGTGCCCTGATCTCATCCGAGAGCAGGATGGGCTGGGGCGCTGGTGGGCCAGGTGGGACCAGCATGAATGAGGCCACAGGACAAGATGCAGCTGCAGGAGCGGGCCCTCATGAGCCCTGCGAGAACTCGCCCAGGAGCTGGGCCGGTGTTCAAGCCCCAACCCCTCAGCTCCGGCCCTTTCTCTCCCACACCCAGGTATGAAGAGGAGGTGGCTCTGAGAGCCACGGCAGAGAATGAGTTTGTGGTTCTAAAGAAGGTGAGGGGGCTGCCTCCGGGGCTGGGGGGCGGAGGAGGGGTGCCACTGTCTCCACGCCTACCAGAGGCCCCCTCCTCTGGCCTCCACCCACATACACAGCCCCTCCCTGCCTGTTCCCCTGCTAGGATGTGGACTGTGCCTACCTGCGGAAGTCGGACCTGGAGGCCAACGTGGAAGCCCTGGTGGAGGAGTCGAGTTTCCTGAAGCGCCTCTATGAGGAGGTGAGGGGCAGGAGCGGGGCAGGTGCAGGGCAGGTGTGGAGACCCGGGGTGGGGTGGGGAGGCAGGGGGAGGGATACAGGTGCAGGTGCGTGCACCTGTTCACCAGCATGGGAAAGAAGTGAAAAGAACACGCACATGCATGTTGTGTGGGTTGCGTGTGCCCAGCCAACACACGCCTGAGTGGGGGTGGTGGCGTGTGTGTGCGCATGGGACTCTGTGTGAGCACCTGTGCAGGGAGGGTCATGCCTGTGCCCTGATCTGTGTAAGTGCTGGTCTGTAGACACACACGACAGTGGGGCTGGGGGTCTCAGCGGTGGGCTTCCACGGGGGGAGGGGTCTTTACTAGTGGACACATATTCTCCCTGCCACTCAAAGCAGCCCCTCTGCTGGGCACCTTGGGGTCAGGCATTTTTCCATGTTCCCATTGTCAAGTCCAAGGCTATCCTCTGATGACCTTGAAGGCCCCTTGCAGCTTTGTGGCTGATCCAGTGACTGTGTGTGAATGAAAGGAGTAGAGGCAGGGGGCATGCACCTCCCCCCTACCCCGAGCCAGGCACTAGATGCAAACACAGCGGCTGTTGGTCCCACAGGAGATCCGCGTGCTCCAAGCCCACATCTCCGACACCTCAGTCATTGTCAAGATGGACAACAGCCGGGACCTGAACATGGACTGCGTTGTGGCCGAGATCAAGGCCCAGTATGACGATGTTGCCAGCCGCAGCCGGGCTGAGGCCGAGTCCTGGTACCGCAGCAAGGTGAGCGACCCCGGGCACCAAGTGGAAGGGTCACAGGGCGTCCCCTGGAGAAGGCTGTGGTGCGGACCCCTGAGGGTGGTGAGAACAGGCCGCCCCGTGTGGGTGCACAGGCTGAGCACTGTTCAACCCGCGCCATCCTGGTGGTGGTGACCTGAGGGAGGGCTCGTGGGTGCTGAGCCTCAGGGGCACCTGTGCTCCCCTCACCCCAGTGCGAGGAGATGAAGGCCACGGTGATCCGGCATGGGGAGACCCTGCGCCGCACCAAGGAGGAGATCAACGAGCTGAACCGTGTGATCCAGAGGCTGACGGCCGAGGTGGAGAACGCCAAGTGCCAGGTACGGTCAGGGAGGACTCAGGTACCCAGCGGGGGCCCGCCTTCTCCCCAGGACTCTCCTCCCCCGCCCACGCCCCCCCACTGCCCGCCTTTGCTCCACCAGCTTGGCTGAACCACGCAAAGCTCCCACTCCTGTGCTCCTGCTTCTTCCTCCTGCCCTTGTCCTCACGTCCCCCATCTCCAACCTCCCCAGCGCGCCAAGCTGGAGGCGGCCGTGGCCGAAGCGGAGCAGCAGGGCGAGGCAGCCCTGAGCGACGCCCGCTGCAAGCTGGCTGAGCTGGAGGCCGCCCTGCAGAAGGCCAAGCAGGACATGGCATGCCTGCTCAAGGAGTACCAGGAGGTGATGAACTCCAAGCTGGGCCTGGATATCGAGATCGCCACCTACCGCCGCCTGCTGGAGGGCGAGGAACACAGGTGGGGCGAGGAAAGGGGAGGCATCTGTCCCCTGGGAGTGAGTCTCCTTGAGCTGCCACCCTGGGAAGTAGTAATAGTAGCAATCTGCCCCCTGCTCACCATGTCCTAGGCCTGTGCTCAGTAGAATGGTCGCAGTGGGGTGGACGGGCCTCACTTTTCCCACCCAAAGGGAAAGAAATGGGCTCAGAGTTCGGCGGCTTTCTCACGGCTGCACAGTACCAAGCAGAGGGTCCTGGACCTGTGCCCAGGCCGTGTGACGGGAACATGCACTCTTGTGGAGTAGCTTCCTTGGGATGCTGCAGCTCTCGGCCTCCACCCCGGCGCAGGGGGACGCCACCTTCCACATGCGAGCAGTGCTTTCCCAGGTGCTGGTGTGGTCGGTCGGCTCCATCTCCCTCTCTCTGAGCTCGCCTCCCGCAGGAGCGCATGGAATCCATGACCACCAACCGCCCCAGGGCTGAAAGTCAAGGCTTGTTTTCCAAAGTGCCTACAGATTTGGGGTGGGGGGGCTACCTTCCTGCCTCTCAGGGGGTACACCCTGGACACGGGAAGACCCTCCCTGGCCCCATCCCACGGCTCATCTCCAGGAATCCAGCTCCAAAACTAACAGCGTGTTTTTGCCCACAGGCTGTGCGAGGGCGTGGGCTCCGTGAATGTGTGTAAGTACCCACCGGGCAGCACCCCGGGGAGATGGCCCGGCTGGAGGGCAAACCCATGAACCTCCAATGTTCCTAAACTAGGAGGGGCCTCGGCCTTCCCAGGGCCTCTCTCTGGGAGGGGGGAAGGCTGGGCTGGACCCCCGTCTCCAGTGGCAATAGCGAGTTGCCTGCTGGGAAGTGGAGTGGGTGGCTTTGTCCCTTCTGGGTATGGGGCTCCTCACTACCGTCTTGTCCCAGTCTCCAAGGTGGGCTGGGAGGCTAGGAGCAGCAGTGCCTGGTTGTCCACCCCTGGACTCCCGGAGGAGGCGGCAGCAGTGGCTCCCCCAAGGCCTTGGCCTTTGGGGCCTGTCCCCGGGGTGGCTGGGGTCTCAGCCAGCCCCTCACCTCCTGCACCCGTGTCTCCTCTGCCCACAGGTGTCAGCAGCTCCCGCGGCGGTGTCAGCTGCGGGGGCCTCACCTACAGCACCACCCCGGGGCGCCAGATTGCCTCCGGCCCCTCAGCCACGGGCGGCAGCATCACGGTGATGGCACCGGACTCCTGCGGCCCCTGCCAGCCCCGCTCCACCAGCTTCAGCTGCGGGAGCAGCCGGTCCGTGCGCTTCGCCTAGTGCCTGCCCCCGCGAGCCTGGCCCGTCCGCGCGTCCACCCCAGCACGGACTGGTGTGTGAATGGGAAACGTGTGCTTGCTTCCAGAACCTTCCAGAGTTCCTGCAGAGGGAAAGACCCCGGGGCCGCTCTCCTCCGCCTCCTCATCTTGGGGGGCTGTCTCCTCGTTCTCCTCTTGCCTTCAGTTTAGAGTCACTCCCTCGCTTAACTGCAACTTGGCTCCGATGTACCCATGGCCAGAGAGGCCGGGCAACGTACAAGTTTCCCAGGGCAAGCTGTGACCCTAACTGTCCAGCCTGAGACCCGGACAGAGCAGGGGCCCTCCCAGCAGCCCCTGCGGCCGATGCTCGGTGCTTGCTTGTGCCTCTGGCCGGCTCCTGGGTGAACAGGGTCCAGTCCAGGCTCCCCCCACCCCAGGGTCCTCCCAGCACACAGGCCCCTTTTCCCAGGGGGGCGTCCTTTGGTCTCCGCTGCCTGGCAGGTGCCTCTGGGCGGGTCTTCCTGTCAGAGCCCCTTTATACATTTCAAAGCCTCCGCGGGGGCTCCCACCTGCCCCCCAGTCTGGAGTGGTGGGATGGAGAAGGAGGGCCTGGGTCCCTCTCTTGGTGTGACTGTCTGTGGTGTGCCTTGCCTTCCGGGTTGTCTCAGTCGATACTGTGTTTCAATAAATGCTGCTGCCTTGCAAAGCTGTGTCTCCACCCCCTTCCTGCCCCCAGTGGCTCTGCGTCTTCCTGTCCCCTCCCACAGCCCGATGGCACCTGATCCTCCTCATCCACACGGCCCTAGCACTCCCACGACCTCTTTCTCCCCATCCTGACACCCCCGGCACTCCCAGCATCCAGAACCTTCCAAACTCACTGCTCTCGCCCCCTCCCGCCCGGCTCAAGTCACGACCTAACACCTCCTCTCCCTGCCCCCTTTTCGGTCCTGTGAAGCCCCTCTGCCCCCACGCTGGTCCTCCCACAAGGGGACGCCCAGCCGAGGCTGCTCGGTCACTCTCCACCAGTGCTTAACTGGTTAAGGCCCCCGTGTCCCAGAGAAGTCTCACTTCAGGTCCAGGGAGATTGCAACCTGGCCTTCCTCTGAGCACTCCTGGCTACCGCACTGCTTGGGGTTTGCAGAGCGACCCCCGCAGGCCTGGTCCCAGCCCCCCCCCCCAGCCATCTGCCCCCTCCTCCCAGCCTCTGACCCTTGAGGGCGAGCTCTGCGTGGGCGACTTTGCATCTCGCATAAGCAACTCCCCAGGAGCAGCAAGGTTCACTCTTAGGGGCTAACAGGCCAGGAATTGACACGTGAGCCCCGATTCTGCCGAGACCACAGGGTCTCAGTGATACCTTGGCCAATTATCTAGGGGGAGATGTGGCAGGGGTCTGGGAGCCCTTTCCAGCCCTGTCCAGCTCCCCTGGGATCCTGGGTTGCTGCAGCCAAATGTGCATTTGGGGCAAACAAGTCTGGGTGACCGTGGACGTGAGCCAAGAGGAACTGGCCCCAAGAGAAGACAACACTGGGCACTGAAGGGTCTCAGAGGCGTTAAGCAGCTGTTTAATATGTTTGCACACTTGGTGTGCCAAGAGCAGGCAGCCGGCTGAGCCTGCCAGAGGTGCGGCGGGCTCCTGAGGATGTAAATACCACCCCCCACCCCCCCACCCCCCACAGAGCCTTCCTTGCAATCAATGGCCCAAACCCAGAGCAAGTTCTTCCTGTTCAAAGGATCCTAGGGGCGGAGGGCAGGCGGGGCAGATCCTCTCCTGATTTGTGAGCTCTTCCCCATGGAAGATCAAGGGCACAGTCCATGAGTGACTAAGGATGGGTTAGCTAGACAGCTTGAGGGAGTGTCGAGTGATCTAACTTAAGAGTTCCGGGAAAGCAGAGGAGCAAATGGCCCAGAGCCTTCCTTTGAAGGGGCGTGGTTCCAGAGCCTTCCTTTGAAGCCCCACAAACTGAGCCAATGGCTCCACAGCAGGCCCTCTGTCCGGGTTCAACTCATATGTAAGTCTGTGTGGTTCCTCCAGAACCTTACCAAGCTGACAAAGCATGAAGTCTGGGTGACAGTCCGCAGAAGAGGTGGAGAGGGAGAGGGCATTGGGCGCAGCCTGGGATGCCCGTGTGCAGGCTAGGAGGGCCTGCTCCCTCTCCAATCCAGCTTCCGGTTCTTGGTACCCTGGAAGCCAGCAATGGTGGCTCCCATGCTCGGGCCCCTGCACCTATGTGGGAGACCCGGATGGAGTTTCAGACTCCTGGTTTCAGCCTGGCTCAGCTCTGGCGGTGGAAGGCATTTGGGGAGTGAATCAGCAGAGAGGGATCTCCCTGTGTCTGGCTCCCTCTCCCCCCATCCCATTCAAATGAGTGAAAATAGATACATTGTTTCAAGGCAGACAAACAGTGTGGGCTCCTGAGGGCTCCTCAGCTCTTCCTTTCCCCAGAGGCCACTGACCCTCCTCTGTGCCAGGTCTCAAATCCTCTGGCTTGGAACAGCTCATGAGTTCCTACTACCAAAAAGGTGCCCTCTGCCAGCCCAGTGTCCCTGGTGTCTGTCTTTGGGATCTCAGGAAATCACTCCACGTCAGTCAGGCATGGTGACAAACGCAATGAACCATGTCATCAGACCCAGCCCCTGTGTGTTGCAAATGGACACGGGAATGACCAGTGAGGAGTGAGCCCCCAGGTCCAGGGGTTCAACCCCTGCCACTCTCTTGAACATGGACAGTGAGAAGTAACCTTTCACCCATTAGCAGAGCAACCAGGACACCGGCTGTTAAGTTCCTCTCTCCTAGGGTTTGTGGGTGTGCCAGGAAGAGCCAGAAAGGACAGAGGCTTGCATCCCCTGGCTGCACACCCCAGCCTGCCCTGCTGACCCTCACTGGATCCCCTCATGCTCCTGGAACTTTCTGCTCACTTCTGCTTTGCTCAAAATCGGAGAGGTCCCCCAGTGTGCCTGCCATGATTCCCTTGGTGCTCCTGGACCAGGACGGTGAGCAGCCAGGAACAGAGTGGGGTCAGATAGCACTCATAGGATGAGCTTGTGCTTGAAAGAGGCACCGTCTGGGGCCAGCGCTGTGGCGCAGTGGGTTAATGCCCTGGTCTAAAGCGCCGGCATCCTATGTGGGCGCTGGTTCGAGACCCAGCTCCACTTCCGATCCAGCTCTCTGCTATGGCCTAGGAGAGTAGTGGAAGATGGCCCAAGTTCTTGGGCCTCCGCACCCATGTGGGAGACCCAAAAGAAGCTCCTGGCTCCTGCCTTGGGATAGGCGCAACTCTGGCCATTGCAGACAGTTGGGGAGTGAACCATCGGATGGAGGACCTCTCTCTGCCTCTCCTCTCTCCGTGTAACTCTGACTTTCAAATAAATAAAAAAATCTTTAAAAAAAAAATAGAGGCACTGTTGCCACCACCATTGCTGCTGCCGCCACTACCATGACCATCACCATGATCAGAAAGTAAAACACAGCGCAGGCATTTGCTGCAGTGTTTAAGACACTAGTTAGGATGTCCATATCCCCTATTAGAGTGTTTGGGTTCAAGTTCTGGCTCTACTTCCGGTTCTAGCTTCCTGCTAAAATGCACCCTGGGAGACAGGAGGTAATGCCCCGTGCACTTGGGCCCCTGCCACCCACATGGGAGACCTGGAGGGGATTCCAGGCTCCTGGCTTCAGCCTGGCACAGACCTGACTGTTGCAGGCATCTGAGGAGTGAACCATAGGATGGAAGACACCTCTGTTTCTTTCTCTCTCTCTTCTCCCCCTCTCCTCTCCCTCCCTCTCTCCCTTTCAAATAAAATGCAAACAAATAAATAGCTTTTCAGAAAAGGAAACGCTCTCTGTAGACTAGCTGTGCACCCTCAGTAACCTCCTGTGTCCCTCAAGTGCCCAACGACAGCCCTGTCCCTTCTCAGAGCTACTCTGGTGGCCCCATTTAACCTAACGCCATCCCTGCTCCAACTTGGTGGTCTCCCGACCACGGTGTGGCCAGGGGGCCCAGGAGGCAGGAGATGAGGGGAGCCCTTGCTGTACTCCTCAGAGGTTCTTCGTCCTGCTGGGCTGAGGTCTTGTGCTGGGAGCTGAGCAAACGATACCGAACATGTGGTGCTTTGACAGACTGAGCTCCAGGAAATCACCGTGCAAGAAATCGAGTTCTTCCCATACAAGAAACAGAAGAAAGCGGTCCATCAGAAACCCCTCCCTCCATCTCTTCCTGGGGCTCAGAAATCGGCCAGAGACACCCATCACCAATCAGCTGCCTAGGTCCGCCCTGCAGCCAGAGGGCAGTTTTCTTTCTGGGCCTGCGCACTAGAGCACTGTCTCAACAGCGCCATCTGGAGGTTGAGACAGAATCCCTATAGGAATGTCCCTATAGGAATGCCACCACCCTGCTCCAGTCCAAGGTGGCCTTGCATCCAAAGGCGTTCACTGAGTTGAGGTTGAGCTGGAATTGGCTCTACAAAGTTCTTACCACCATTGTCTTCTCCAATATAGAGCCCTGCTGGCCAGTATTGTCTAGGGGGATATCTGTTAGGGGACTCCCAGGTCTGGGGCAGGAAGTAACCACCACCTACACATAACCCCCTCCCCAGACTTCCTGAAGCCCATTTGGCCACTGTAAGAATTCCCTGGAGAGTATGGCATCACTGACCAATCAAAGGACAGTCACCAGCACCACTGACCAGCCAGGAACTTGGACATGAGCTGATCAGGCACCTCTCAGCCCCCCGCACCCCCACCATTTCAATCCAAAAGAAACTTCCTCACCCCTAACACCTCCCTGGGGAGCCTGGGAATGAAGCAATAAATGTCTACTTTCTCCTACCACCCCATGTCAGAGATTGGCTTTCTGCGCATCTGGTAAGCATGCCCAGGTTTGGTGGTTTCTATAGCAATGCTTCCAATTAGTTTGGTTGTTGGGCAACAAAATCTGTCCGTGGTCCTTGGAGAGCAGGGGCTGTGAGGAGAGGCATCCACCTGTGCTTCCAGAAGTTTCTTTATGCCACCTTCCATCCATTCTTTCAGTAGCAGGCAGAGCTGTTCCTGATGAGTTCCTGATGGTCCCTAGATCGGAACTTGCCATCTGGACCAGCGATGTGACATCAGCAGCGTTGCTTCTTTTAGCCGTAATTTCTTTTTTTTTTTTCTTTTTTTTTTTTCTTTTTTTTTTTTTTTTTGACAGGCAGAGTTAGATAGTGAGAGCGAGAGAGAGAGAGAGAGACAAAGAGAAAGGTCTTCCTTCCGTTGGTTCACCCCCCAAATGGCCGCCACGGCTGGTGTGCTACGCCTATCCGAAGCCAGGAGCCAGGTGCTTCCTCCTGGTCTCCCATGCAGGTGTAGGGCCCAAAGACCTGGGCCATCCTCCACTGCCCTCCCAGGCCATAGCAGAGAGCTGGAATGGAAGAGGAGCAGCCGGGACAGAACCAGCGCCCCGATCGGGACTAGAACCCGATGTGCCAGCGCTGTAGGTGGAGGATTAGCCTAGTGAGCTGCAGCGCCGGCCTAGCTGTAATTTCTTTATTGGCAAAGAACTGAACGAAGCACGCGTGTAACATGCCGGACATCCAGCAGGTGCCTCATGAACACAGACTCCCTCTCCTCCCCCGCTCATCACCCCCACGCCACCCCCAGGGTGTGTATGGCCCAGCTGGGGCTCTGACCCCTCGGCGGAGTCCAACAGACAAAGGCAGAGGGGCTAATAACTGATCCGGCGGGCATTGCAGTGAAGTCACCTCCCTGGCCAGACTATCTCGTCCTTCTCTGCCCACATACACCGGTGCTCCCCGTGCTGCCATGCACAGCGGAACCACCTGGGAGCTTCAAAACAGGGGGTGCGGCGCTCCCGGCTGGAATCCGGGATCTGCTTGTTTCACAGAACCCAGCAGGTCCCTGAGCCAGGTCGGGGAGGGGAGGGGGGGTGGTCCATGGACCATACCTCGAGCAGCACCAGAACCACCCGGGCCTGAGGGGCTTAGGGAAACAACCAAAGGGGCTGGCGTCGGGATACGATGAGTTAAGACGCCTGTGACACCGCGGCATCCCATATGAGCATGGGTTTGAATCCCATCTGCTCCGTTTCCCATCCAGCTCCCTGCTACTGTGCCTGGGGAGACAGCAGCGGATGGCTCAAGTACCTTGGCTCCTACCACCCATGTGGGAGACCCAGAAGCTAGAGTCAGGAGCTAGAGCAGAAAACTGAACCCAGGAGGCCGGCGCTGTGGCATAGCAGGTAAAGCTGCCACCTGCAGTGCCGGCATCCTCTATGGGTGCCAGTTCGAGTCCCGGCTGCTCCATTTCCTATCCAGCTCTCTGCTATGGCCTGGGAAAGCAGTAGAAGATGGCCCAAGTCCTTGGGCCCCTGCACCTGCATGGGAGACCCAGAAGAAGCTCCTGGCTCCTGGCTTCGGATTGGCACAGCCCTGACCGTTGCTTCCATTTGGGGAGTAAGCCAGCAGATGGAAGATTTCTCTCTCTCTCTCTCTCTTTCTCTCTCTCTCTCTCTGCCTCTGTGTAACTCTCTGCCATTCAAATAAATAAATCAATCTTTAATTAAAGAAAGAAGACAGTGACGGAAGCCAGCATTAACTTGGTGACCAGGAGAAAGCCTTTTGCTATCAGCATTTAATGAAGCTCTTCAAAGCAAAGCAGGAACCATACAGGAATTAGACAAACACAACAGCCTTCCAGGCAACCATGCCAGGTAACCTCAACCCTTCAGCCCTGGCGTAGGAGCCCTTTGGGGGGGGGGGTGCTCCAGGAACAGAGAAGCTCTCAGAGCAAGTGCGGGGCTTCCCAGAGCCCCAGGCCCACCCACCCTCCCTTCTGCCCCTTCAGCTGCAGCCCCTCCCACTGAGAACAAAGCCCACACTGGCGAGACCCTCCCCCAAGCTCCTCAGTAGACCCAGGCTTGCACTGGAAGGATAAATCACAAGAAGTTGGAAATGGAACAGCCAGTGCTGTACTCCCTGTAAGGAGAAGTTATTGACCCTGGAGTCTGTGAGACAGAAAGACATCCCCTCCCACCCATGGGGACTCCCATCAAGCCCACTCTGTCTGGAGCCCCACCCCTTCTTATGTGAACCGCACAGACTTGGCACCAGAGCCGGCCCCCACGACGGAGGGGGAACACAGGGCACCACTGCTGAGGGCCAACCCCCTGAGGCCACACGTGACCGTGGACATGAGGTCCCCGCAGACCACGCCACCCTGTGAACGGCTCACACCTGCGGACAGAGACACCGGGTTAGCCTGCTCTACCGTTCCAGACACAGTGTGGCCCAAAATCTCTTACAATCAATGCTTGCTTCATTCTCTTGGTCTCCCAGAGGCCAGCAACAAGAGTGTTTTAAAGACCACAGGCTTGGGGCCGGCATTGTGGCACCGAAGGTTAAGCCGTCTCAGGTGATCCTGGCATCCTATGGGAACACCAGTTCAAGTCCTGGCTGCTCCACTTCCAATCAGCTCCCCCTGCTAATGCACCTTGGAAGGCAGTGGAAGATGGCCCAAGTTCTTAGGCCCTTGCAGCCCACATGGGAGACCCAGATGGAGTTCCTGGCTCTGGCTCTGGCCAGGCCCAGCCCTGGCTGTTGTGGCCATTTGGGGCAGTGAACTAGTGGATGCAAGATATATCCCTGTCTCTCCATGTCTTTCTGATGTATGTCTTTCAAATAAATAAAATAATCTTCAAAAAAAATCTACAGGCTAAACTAAACCCATGGCCATCTGATTCTGGATGAGTAAACTGGACACCTAACTCTACCTGGACCAGGCTGATGCTTTGTACACCTCTGAGCAAAGACTGATGGATCATTCTAGAAAAACCATCTAGAACTGTGGCTGCTAGAACAATCAGAGGAGCCGACACCCAGCCTGGGGGCCATGAATACAACGATGACTCAAGAGAAAGTGCCTGCAGGGGGCGCTAGCGAGCATAGCATAAATGGAGCATTTCTTCTAATACATGGGACCCCCTGAGGTGCGTTCTGTGTGTCACTGAGAGGCGTGCTCTGTGTTTGCAGCACACATGAGGGGGCCAGAATTTGCCACATTCATTAACGTAAGCTCCATGGAGGTTCCAGACAGATCCGTGTAGGAGCCAAACAGTTTGGGCCACCCATTTGTCCAGATCCCTGAGACTCCAGGTCTGGAGTCCCTCCCTCAGCGCCTCCCCGGAAGACAAAGCCTCGGTCCCCAGGAAACTGACACTGAGACTGTGACCCCCATAGACAGCCGTGCCACCAAGACCCAACTCACAGATGTTGACAGGGCCCAGGCCTTCGCACAACCTGCAGGGAAGAGGAGATGGGGGGGGGGGGCATCAGAGTGAGTCCCTGTGCACCAGGACAAGGGAGCAGGGGCAGGGGCTGGGCAAGGGCTGCCTGCCGGTTGCACGCAATGTCCCAATGCTTAGCACCACCCATGGATCCCAAAGAGACAGGGGTAGGTCAGGTGGCAGGGTCCGCAAAGCCACTCTGTGCCCTGCTTGTTTTCAGCCATGGAAACCTGGCGGACTTGAAGGTCATCCCGGCTGAGCAGCGTCGCACACCCGTTCTCGTGAGAGACGGGATGAGACTTGAGACACTGGCTACGTGATGCCCTCTGTGTTATGCCTGGGGATGTTTAGGGGAGAGAGGTCCTACAGCTGAGAAGTGGAGGAAGCTGGGACTTGCACCCAGGTGGGCAGGGCAGGCTTGCAACCTGAGCTCTTGGCCCCTCGAAGGGGACCCAGTTGGGGGCTCTGACAGCGCAGCCGCCTGGAGCCAAGGGCGTATGCACCCTCCCCACGCTGAGGTCCTGTGCTTTCACCTCTTGGCTCAAGCTGGAAGGAGTACTTCAAATGTCTTCCCCTTCCCACCCTCTCAGCTCCTCTGCTCCTCCTGAGATGCCTCCAGACAGGAGCCTGCACCTGCACCTGCCCCCGGCTTCTCCTGCAAGTTGCTGCTTCGCTCCCTTGGTCCCAAGGACTAGGCCCCGGGTCAGCAGGATCCCGTCCCTGTGCATCCCTGTGCATCTGAACGGATTTTCTCAATGATCCCCGCTTCTAGGCCCCAATGACCACAGAAATGTCCTTTCTGCCAACAGGGGAATGCAGCAGCCTCAGAAAGCACCGTGGGTATGCCTGTGGGCAGAGCATAGCAGGAAAGAACGCCAGAGTGCCCACCCGAAGACCGGGGCCAAGTTAGCTTAGCCACCAACCCCTGCGGTCCTGGGCAAACTCCTTTCTCCAAACCTGTTTGTAAAATGGGGAGATGGGGCGAGACACAGTCTCTAGGGACTTGGTAGGCCTGAATAGTGTCCAACTGGAGGATGAGTCCACTCTCCATGGGTGGGGAGCTGAGAGCCCCCGACGCACCCACGCGCCCCTGTCCTCACCTCTGCTCCTCGCCCTCCAGCAGGCGGCGGTAGGTGGCGATCTCGATGTCCAGGCCCAGCTTGGAGTTCATCACCTCCTGGTACTCCTTGAGCAGGCACGCCATGTCCTGCTTGGCCTTCTGCAGGGCCTCCTCCAGCCCCGCCAGCTTGCAGCGGGCATCGCTCAGGGCCGCCTCGCCCTGCTGCTCAGACTGCGTCACGGCCGCCTCCAGCTTGCTGTTCTGTGAGGGAGGTGTCGAGGGAAGAGGTTTGAGAAGAACGCGGCAGCAGGGGGCGGGGGGGGAGGGGGGAGCCCAATAGGACATTGCTCAAAATAGGCAGCATTTGAACCTGAATCTTTTTAAAGACATACCCCAGGGCCGGCGCTGTGGCACAGAGGGTTAAGCTGCCAGCTGCAATGCCGGCATCCCATGTGGGCACTGGTTCAAGTCCCAGATGCTCCACTTCCACTCCAGCTCCCTACTGATGCACCTGAGAGAAGCAGCAGAAGACAGCCCATGTGTTTGGGCCCCTGAACCCATGTGGGAGACCCAGAAGGAGTTCCAGGCTCCTGGCTTCAGACTGGTACAGCTTTGGCCATTTGGGGAGTGAACTAGCAGGTAGAAGATCTCGATCTCTCTCTCCACCATCTCTCTCTCTCTCTCTCTCTCTCTCTCTCAACTCTGCCTTTCAAATACATCAATTAATCTTTAAATAAAGAAATACACCAAAGGAAAATAGACTAGGCAGGAAAACCATCACTCCTTTTTCCTTGATTTTTGTCCCACCAACCAACTTGCTGGAGGGAGGAAACATTCGCACTGAGGTATTGCAGATGATAGCCACCCTATGACTGTGTGCGCACACGGTCGCTGGTGCTCAAGGCACCTGCACGGATGCCACTGCCTTGTTGGACCTTCAGAGTGACCCTGCAGCTCCTTGGGGCAGGCATGATTGTTTCCATTTTGCAGATGAGGAATCTGGGGCACAGAGAGGCTGCCACTGCCCTAGGCTAGCCTCGGTCTTCAGAAGCCACTCTAAAGCTCTTAATCTTCCACACAACACCCAGAGTGCTAACCACGCCCACCTCTGGCCCCGCTGGGCAGAACACATCCAGATGCAAAAGAAATTACAGTGTAATCATGGGGAGGATTTCAAATCTTCTCCAATGTCACTTCTTAAACAAACGGGGCCAGTGCAAGGGCTCACTTGGTTAATCCTCCGCCTGCAGCGCTGGCATCCCATATGGGCACTGGGTTCTAGTCCTGGTTGCTCCTCTTCCAGTCCAGCTCTCTGCTGTCACCTGGGAGGGCAGTGGAAGATGGCCCAAGTGCTTGGGCCTCTGCACCCACATGGGAGACCAGGAAGAAGTACATGGCTCCTGGCTTCAGATCTGCGTAGTTCCGGCCATAGTGGCCATTTGGGGGGTGAACCAATGGAAGGAAGACCTTTCTCTCTCTCTCTCTCTCTCTCTCTCTCTCTCTCTCTGTCTAACTCTGTCGAATAAAAAAATAAAAAAAAAATATAAATAAAAAAAGTAAACAAATGTGGGGCTGGCGTTGGGGCTTAGTGAGTTGAGCGACTGCTTCCAATGCTGGCATCTCATCTGGATGCCAGTTCAAGTCCCAGCTGCTCCACTTCCAATCCAGCTCCCTGCTAATATGCCTGGGAAGGCAGCAGAAGATGGCCTGAGTGCTTGGGTCTTGCTATCTACTTGAGAAATCCGGATGGAGTTCCAGGCTCTTGGCTTTAGCCTGGCCCAACCCCAACCCCAGCCATTGTATTCATTTGGGGAGATCTCTCTTCCTCTCTCTCTTTAACTCTGCCTTTCAAATAAATATTTTTTTAGAGATGTGAACCACCATATTTCACCTTCTCTGCTATGAACCATAGCATGCTGTTTGTGATACATTTTGCACAGTGGCTGAGAATAGTTGCCCAGAAAGGAAAGGAAAGAAATGGAGCCAGGCAGGGTGCAGAGACAGCATCATGACAGACCAGGATCACAAATGAGTGGGGAGAGCATGCAGCTCATTTTCTATTTTCTTACTAAATGTGGGAAATTAAAATTAAGACCCTACTTAGTGTGTAGACAACAAATGAAGTTCAGAAGGGTTAAAGACCTGAATGTGAGAAATAAAACTGTAAAATTAATAGAGGACCAAACAAATGTAAGAAAATATCTCTATTGTCTTGAAACTTCCTAAGTATAAACTAGGAAGCACAGGACTGTCAGGTTTGGCAACATTCAAGTTAAAGGTCTGGATCAGTACAGAGCATTGAGCAAAGCCAACAGCTAAGAGTGATAGAAGAGTGACAGCAACAAGTGTAACTGCCCGAGGTGACAATTGGGAATGAATGGACAGGAAAATGCTGCCCATCATCATGAAAACAGACAGGACTCACAATAGAGAAATGGGCAGGTGGTAGGAACAGAACAGGCAATTCTTTTTTTTTTTTTTTTTTTTTTTTTTTTTTTTTGTGTGTGTGTGTGTGTGTGTGTGTGTGGACAGGCAGAGTGCACAGTGAGAGAGAGAGAGACAGAGAGAAAGGTCTTCCTTTTTCCATTGGTTCACCCCCCTAGTGGCCGCTTCGGCCAGCGCACCACGCCAGGAGCCAGGTGCTTCCCCCTGGTCTCCCATGCAGGTGCAGGGCCCAAGCACTTGGGCCATCCTCCACTGCATTCCCGGGCCACAGCAGAGAGCTGGACTGGAAGAAGAGCAACCGGGACAGAATCTGGTGGCCTGACCGGGACTAGAACCCGGGGTGCCAGCGCCACAGGCGGAGGATTAGCCTATTGAGCCGTGGTGCTGGCCAGAACAGGCAATTCTTAGAAGGGGTAATACTCCTACAGGTGAGTCTGTGAGGAGACACTCAATATCACCAAGCAACTGGAACAGTGAGAATTGAAACAGCACTTAGGTGTGAGCTCCACAGGAATTTGGAAGTCTGGTCATAGCAGGTACTGGGACAGGACAGTGAGGGTGTTATCTGGCCTCCCAATGACAGTACAGCCCCCGGAGTTAGGCAGGAAACAGAAGTGGGGTGAGAAGCATCAGGGGGCCCCAGCGAGGTCCCAGTGCCTCCCACCCGCACACACACACACCTGCTGCTTGGCGTTCTCCACCTCGGCTGTCAGCCTCTGGATCAGGCGGTTCATTTCACTGAGCTCATCCTTGGTTCTGCGCAGGTTCTCACCCTGCTGGGTCACTGTGGCCTTCATCTCCTCGCACTGCAGAATTGGGAGGCAGCGTTCAGAGGCTGGAGGGCCGGCGGAGCCAGCCCGCTGTCCTGCAGAGGCGCACCTCCCGGCTCTGCCCCGCCTGGGTCTCAACAGCACCCCACGGGGAGCGCATGGACGCATTTCCCAGGGGAGCTCCAGGTTCACGGCGCTCCTCCGTGCTCAGCCCTCCAGGTTACCTTGGATCGGTACCAGGACTCGGCCTCGGCCCGGCTGCGGCTGGCAATATCGTCGTATTGAGCCTTTATCTCAGCCACGGCTGCATCCATGTTGAGCTCCCGGCTGTTGTCCATCTTCACCACCACCGAGGTGTCGGAGATGTGCGACTGGAGCAGGAAGATTTCCTGCAGGAGGCAAGATGCAGGCTCAGCTCTGCATCCCCCGCTCCAACCCTGAAAGCCCCGGGAAGGAAACCAGACAACTCCGGGACCAGCAAGCCAGGGAAAGCGAAGGTGTGCAGCTCTACAAGGAAAAGTCTGGAACAGGACCACGGCCTGCAGGCAAGGAGTCAGAGGGGAACACTGCTAACCAACGCCAACATCAGTCAGGCAGTTCTGCATGTGTGGCTGCAAACTGGACCATTCCACTGAGCCGTCTGCTAAAAATCACCAACCAGACCGCAGCCAGAATCCTGGATCATCTGATCAGGTTTCTAGACTACTTGTGTTAATACGTTAGCTCTCCACTTCCGCCCTCGCTGTGTACACAGGGAGTGAACTGCAGCCTTTCAAATCCTCTAACAGGGGCCGGCGCGGTGGCATAGCAGGTAAAGGCACCACCTGCTGACATCCCATATGGGCGCTGGTTCAAGTCCCAGCTACCCCACTTCCGATCCAGCTCGCTGCTGTGGCCTGGGAAAGCAGTAGAAGGTGGCCAAAGTCCTTGGGCCCCCGAACCCACTTGAGAGACTGGAAGAAGCTCCTGGCTCCTGGCTTCAGATTGGCTTAGCTCCAGCCATTGCGGCCATTTGGGGGGTGAACCAACAGAAGAAAGACCTCTCTCTCTCTCTCTCTCTCTTTGCCTCTCCTTCTCTCTGTGTGTGTAACTCTGACTTTCAAATAAATAAATAAATCTTTTTAAAAAAAATTGTCTAAGGAAGGGCATCACCCACTTCTTTTTTATTATTATCATCAGTCTTTGACAGGTGCAGAGACAGACTGCTCCCAGCCTCTGGTTCACTCCCCCAAATGCCCACAGCCACCAGGGCTGGTCCAGGCCCAAATCAGGAGCCTTGGGAATTCAATCTAAGGTCCCCCCTTCCCCCCTAGGGCGGCAGGAACCCAACGACATGAGCCAGCACGGCTGCTGCATTCCAGTCTGCATCAGCAGGAATCCGGGGTCAAGAGCCAGAGCCGGGACTCACTCCCAGGTTCTCCTACATGCAACACAGGCTTCCAGCTGCTGGCTTAACTGCTGAGCTGTGCACCTGCCACCAGCCACCTTTTCCATTTGGAAAGGATGCCCGAACAAGAGAAAACTCCCCTGTGGTCACAGGAGGCGAGCATGACTTTCCCTGGAGCCCAGGAAGACGACCAGCCACACCCAGAACGTGCCTGCACCTCCTTCCTCTGCTTGCTCTCCCGGAAGTGGGGAGAGAGTTACCTCCTCATAGATGCGCCGCAGGAAGTTGATCTCTTCCTCCAGCACCTCCACATTGGCCTCCAAGTCCGCCTTTCGCAGATAAGCATCGTCCACGTCCTGGCAGAGACAGACAGGAGAGGAAGGGAGGGGCCTGGCCCTGCGTTGAGCATCTGCCCGCTGCCTGCGGCCGTCTCCTCAGCCTCCGCCTTGCTTGTCCAGCCCACACGTCCATGGCTAAACCGGTGCTAAGGTTTGCAGAGGATCTGCATCCCAAAGTTATAACAGAGCTTAAGCCACACAGCTGTAAGCTCACAGGACTGAGAGGGTGGAAATTAATCTAGTTATGGCTGTTAGGGTGAAGCCCCTGTGACTGAATCCCTGTGCCTTCCTAAGGGGAGAGAGACCACAGAGGACAGACAGACACACGCACCCCCTACCTCTTTCCGTGTGATGCTGGGCTCTGCCACGCCAGCAAGGAAACCCAATCTGTGAACCTCCAGAGCCGTGAGCCGTAAGTAAACCTCTTTTCTCTACGATGTGGGCTGCCTCGGTTATTTTGTTTTAGTACCAAAAAGCTGATGGACATTCCTGGACTTCTCATCTTTGCCCTCAGGGTGCCCCCCAGCTCCACGCACAGGAGCAGGGTGGTTTGCTCTGTCCCTCTGCGGCTACTCCCATGCCATGAACCTCAGTGGGACCACCAGGCAGTGGGGGGCGGGGGGAGAATGGCGGGGGGCGAGGAGGTGGTGATATCCACAAGAGGGCCAAACATTTAAAAGTGGGCATTTCTGCCCATCAGGGGGTTTACAAAGCCAGGCAGTGTCTTCGATGAGTGGGTTCTTTCCAAGAAGCCTCCATTGGCCCACTCTGGCTACTCCGACCAAGCCAGCCCCCTCACCCAGCAGGGCACCTGAACCTTGTGGACTGGCCCTCGAGAGCATACCCAGCGCCAGTGGCTGCCCCATGTCCCAGAGGAGGAGGGGTCGCTCACCTTCTTCAGTGTCACGAACTCGTTCTCAGCTGTGGCCCTGTAGGTCAGTTCATCTTCAAACCTGAGGGGACAGACACGGGCGGGTCGGCCACGGGGCTGGTTAGCCTGAGCCCCTGCTTGGCAGAGCTCCCCGGGGGTTTTCCTGTGCTTTCCATGTGCCTTTTGCAGAGGAGATGTGGCCAATCAGAAGGACCCAGGACCTGGGCATCTGTCCCACTGTGCTTGGAGTTACCATGATGCCCCTCTCTGGCACTTGGGTAGGGTCACCTGGGGAGCGCTGAGGCGAGCAGTGAGCACAGCTGGCCCTCCGTGTCCGTGGGTTCCACACCCACGGGTGCACCGGAATTGAACATATGAATCCTCAGAGTCAATCAACCACGGGTGGCAAATGTGCCTGTACTGAGCATGCGCAGACTTGTTTGCAACTCGTATGCACTGGACGATGCAGTATAATAACCGTTCACACGGCACTGGCCTTTGTGGGCAATCTAGACAGGCAGACGCCCTTAGCTTCCCTGCAAATACGCCGCTGTCCTAGATCAGCGAGCTGAGCATCTGCTATCCACGGGAGTCCCTAGACCCCACCCCGCTGGACTCATGGGATGCAGCAAACAAGGGCAGGTGTCCCAAGGAACCCTTCAACTCCCCAAATGCACAGAACACAAAAGCTCCAAGGATACGGCCCCTCTCGCAACATCCAGAATTCCGGAAAGGGAGCCAGAGTTCAGAGGCAGCTCCCCAGCCCGCCTCCCCCAGTCTGGTTCCTCTTCCCTGGCCAGGAGCAGCCCTGCCTCCCCTCCCCCTACAACGTGGAAAACCAGAGTTCCCAGGGTTTTTACAACTGTTTGACCACAGGGCAATTTGGGCCTGCAGTAAACTCTGGCTCTTTAATTAGCAGCCCCCACAGCCTGAGTGGGAGGCAGAAACTGAGGCTTGGGAGCTGAAGAGGTGCCTGCCTTTGCTTCCCCCAGGGAAAGTGTCCGTCTGGAGGCGGGAACTGACTTCCCAGATCAGAGCCAGGGCGGGCCGGTCAATGTCAAAATCACACTGAGTCTTCTCCAAGGGGAGGAGAGACAAGGCAAAGGATTTACGCTGGTGTTTGTGTCCTGGAGCCCTATGGAAGGAGAGGCCCCGCCTATGGAAGGGGAAGTCTGTCTGCAGAATAAGTAAACCACGAATCCCCGTTCATCGGATACTTTGTATGGTGTTGGCCAGGTCTTTGCTAAGGTATCTCTTCCAGGGCGCTCTCTTTCCTGCATCCTGCAGGCACCTGCTCTCCACCCTGTGGTCACTTCTTGGTCTCTCTCTCTCTCAGTCTCTGAGTCTGTGGTCCCTACGGGCGTCCCACCCCTCCCAGATGGGGAGCTCTTCTCTCTCTCTCTCTCTCTCTCTCTCTCTCTCTCTCTCTCGATCTTTTGCAGTTCCCTGGGGCGGAGCTGCAAGAGCTGGTTGCTGAGTCGACAGACAAGACAGAGCCGCCTCCATCTCCAGGGCCCGAAGCCCTGCGCTACCCACTCACTTCTTCTTGTAGCCCTCCAGCGCCTCCTGTACGTGGTTGAGCTCCGAGGACAGCCGCCCGCTGTCGGCCTCTGCGTACTCCGCCTCCCGCCGCAGCATCTGGAGGTAGCCCTCAAACAGCTGCTCCAGGCCGCCCTGGTAGTAGTCGCGGTTCTGCACGAACTGCAGCTTGGTCTCCAGCAGTTTGTTCTGCTGCTCCAGGAAGCGCACCTGCCGTCAGAGACGGAGGAAGGAGGTTCAGGGGAAACCCAGGGGTGTGTGATCCCCAAGAGCTCTCACTGCCCCCTTGGAGGCGGGCTCTGCCCTTTTCCCCAGGGAACCAAATTGTGCGCAAAGTTGGCAAATGCAGATTGCAGTCCTTCACCAAATAACCACTCCCCTCCAGCCCTCCTAGCACCCAGAAAAGAGCCCACAATTCCCAGCCATCTGTTTATTCCGCCCAGAATGAAACAAGCTTTGATCCTGCAGAAGCAAGGCAAATAACATCGGCCAAGGTGCCCGTGCCCCAACCCTGGGGTCTGCAGTGACTATGTCTCGTCACATAGCAAAGGGGATCTTGCATAAGGAGTCAAGGTCACAGTGCAAAGACTGGCGGTTGTCATGGGTCACAGCCGGTCCTGAGATTGTCACATGGGCCCTTCAAAGTGAGGAAGGAAAGAGAGAGATGAAGGGAGGGAGGGAGGGAGGGAGGGAGGGAGGGAGGGAGGGAAGGAGGGAGGAAGGGAGGGAGAGAGAGAGATATGCTCCAAAGAAAGAGGCAGAGGAATTCCTGGCTTTGAACTTGCGGGAAGAAGGGTCCCTGAGCCGAGGACTGTGGGCTGTTCCTAGAAGCTGGGGACACCCATGCAGCCAGCCAGCAGCGGGGAAGGAGCACAGCCTACAACCACTGGGACTCCCTTCTGCCCAAAGCCTGAGCGTCCCTGGAAGCAGCTTCTGCCCCAGGGCCTCAGGAACATCTGCAGCCTGCTGACCCTCTGAGGTCTAAAAATGCACCCACCATTGGTGTCTTGTACCCTGATCCTGGAGCAGTGCCATTGAGGAGGGGAGACCCCGAGGCTGGAATTAGGAGACCCCTGGCTTTCTATCTTTTTTTTTTTTTTTTTTTTTTTTTTGGACAGGCAGAGTAGACAGTGAGAGAGAGAGACAGAGAGAAAGGTCTTCCTTTGCTGTTGGTTCACCCTCCAATGGCCGCCACTGCCAGTGCGCTGTGGCCGGTGCACCGCGCTGATCCAATGGCAGGAGCCAGGTGCTTCTCCTGGTCTCCCATGGGGTGCAGGGCCCAAGCACTTGGGCCATCCTCCACTGCACTCCCTGGCCACAGCAGAGAGCTGGCCTGGAAGAGGGGCAACCAGGATAGAATCCGGCGCCCCGACCGGAACTAGAACCCGGTGTGCCGGCGCCGCTAGGCGGAGGATTAGCCTATTGAGCCTTGGCGCTGGCAACCCCCTTCGCTTTCTCATTCCACCACCAACCAAGGCCACTTTGCTCGCTCCCTCTGAGCTGCAGCAGGAACAGGTCCCCGGGGCTCCCTCAGGGCCACAGGATGCTTCACTCAGCCTGCACGCTGTCCTGCACACATTTGCTTCGTTGCTGGGATTTCAGGCCAGAATCTGGATCTTTCTCTGACCCTCAGGATGAACCGGGAGCTCTGACAATGCCAGGCCTGTGGCTGCAGGCGAGCTGCTGCCCCAGTCCCTCCAGGGAGGCAGCTCTGTCATTTGGATTCATTCATGGGGCTCCCAAGGCCCCCATCAAAGCTTGCAGTTTGCAGCTATAAAGTGGGTGATTCCCCTCAAGCCCTTAGCCCCAAAAGTACAAGCCGGCTGCAGAGAACAGAACAAAACAAAACCTCTCAACTGCCCGCGCTGGTGGGAAGACGAGACCGCACCCTGACTACCCACGCAGTGCCTGCCTTGAGCGCGCACACTCAGGCCAGGCCGCCAGCAGCCCTGTGCCTGCTGCTCTGCAGGATTCAATTCACCACGTGCACTTTGCAGCCTGGAGCCCGTTCTGAGGGAAAGATGCTGGAGGCGGGCGGGTGGCAGGGGGAGAGCCACAGGTGAGCGTTCGAGTCTCTCAGCGGAGACAGCAGTGTCCAAGGCCACACATAATGATCCCTTGGAATCTGCAGGCCGAGGGCCCTCATTGGGATTTTGGGCGGAGCGAGAGAAGATGCCTCCTCCAGGCGGGTGCTGCCTCCCAGCCTCCGCCACCGCCGGGGCACACAGCCAACAACACGGCGTGAGAAGCACTGGCTGGACAGATGGCACCCCCTCCCCTACTCTCGGGGGTGTTCCTGGGCAGTGAGCACCTACAGAGCCCTGCATCGGCTTCTGGGAGCTGATGAAAGGAAGAGCCGTGCGCACAGACCAGGCTGGTTAGGAACGGGCTCCAGGGCCTTGGCCTGCCGACACATCCATTTCTGAGAGCCATCATACAGCCCTGGAAAACAAACCCTCCCATCCTGGGACTTCGGGGGCTGTCTTCCCCTGCAAAGACCATGAGCTCTCAGAGGGGGACACCATTAGGTCAAAGGACCAGAGCTATGCCCCAGCAGGAGGACGTAGTAACAGCAGCATCAGCAAAGCTGATGGTGGTTCTACAGCCTCTCCGAGGACCCTGCCCAAGCTCCCAGCCACCTGCTGCACTCTTGTGAACGGGGGCGTGGCTTGGGCGGAAGTCCCGGGAATCCACAGCTTTCCTAAAACCTCCTCACCAAGCAGAAGGAGCAAAGGAGCCTCTGGATTCTCTGTGGATGGCAGCCCCTCTGCCACGCAGAGCCGCCCAGCCCCCTGCCGCTGGACAGCAAAGTTCCGGAAGATGGGTTCGTAGGCGCACTGGGCACGGGCATCACCATCCGGCCGCCTGCGACTCTCACAGCAACATTGGAAAACCGGGACTTGATTCAGCCATGTTCTCCAGGTCGGTAGCAGAAGAATCTTAAGCAAATCCCTGGCCCCTGCTAAGCCACAGCCCCAGACCCACCTTGTGGATGAAGGCGGCGAACTTGTTGTTGAGACACTTGATCTGCTCCTTCTCCTCGTGTTTCACGCACTGTGCATTGGGGTCGATCTCCAGGTTGAGGGGCGTCAGGAGGCTCTCGTTGACTGACACGGTGGTGATGCAGGGGGCGCTGGGCCCGCAAAGACCCCCTGCTCGGTAGCCAAAGCTGCCCCCGCCACCGAGGGGCCGTCTGCAGCCCACCGTGATCCGGGGCAACCCCGCAGCACACAGGCTCCGGCTGCCAAAGCCCCCGAGGCACCTGTAGGCCGGCCCCCTGGGGCTGCCCCAGCAGAAGCCCACAGTGGTCAGGCAGCCATGAGCCCCAGGCTTGGGCACCACTGCCGAGCGGGAGCTGAAGTTCCTGGCCCCACAGAAGGAGCGGCTGGCCATGCCTCTGCTGTACCGGGAGGTCCCAGGGCAGGTGGAGGGGACAGGAGGGTGACCAGTGTCATGCAGGAGCCGGTGGAGTGCACCTGCCTTTTATTGCAAAGGACAGCCCCCCACACACACAACATGAAAGGCGGGAGGGAGTCATTAATGCCGGTTACGAGCGTGGGGATCCCCCGCTAGGCAGACAGAGAGGGAACTGAAACTCGGCCTTGTTCATGGGCAAGGTCAAGGGGACCCTGCATCCCAATGAACCTGCCCACTGCCCTCTGGACCTCGGGCCTACACCCAGTTATTAAGCCCCTGGGCCCTCCCCCTGAGAGGAGTAAGGGGATTATTATCCTCCAAGCAGGCCAAGACAGAAGGGCCCCCTGTCCCGACAAGATCCCACATGCTCCGTGACACCCCCCCGCCCCGCAGGCGGTCTTTCCCTATGGCTGGGAGGTCACTCGTTACGCTGCCCCCTGGGAGGCACACAGCGTGGCTGGGGACCTTCCTCAGCGTGGCTGGGGACCTTCCTCAGCATGTCTGAGGGCCTTGGGCAGCCCTGGCTGAATTGAGTGACAGGTCACAGGAAGGACCGGGCCTGGCCCGCAGGGTTTCCATCCGCCAGGCCCACCACCAAGGGAGAATGTGGCTTCGCGTTGCAGGCAAGGGCCAAGGCGCCACCTGTGCGAGGCCCTGAGCCCATGCGCAGGGGGAGATGAAGCTTGCGCTGGAGGAACCCGGGTGTCCCTGAGACCAGACACAGAGGGGACAGACCCCTGTGCCCTTGGAATGGGAAGAGCGATGGCACTGGACCTGACCCGAGAGAAGACAGGGTGAGAGGAAGCGGAGAAGGAAGGGGAGAGGAGCCACGAGGATCTCGAGGGGTGTGCTGACCTACTGGCCCAGATGTTGGCTCTCCTGGCTGCAGCAGGTGCAAGGGCCCTGGGGCAGCGCCGAGGGAGGGGGGAATAGTGGGGAGGCGGTAGGGGCCAGGGGGTCGCAGCCTCAACAAGCAGAGCAGGAGAAGTGCAGACTTCACACCCTCTGGTGGGTGCTGGAGCTCAGTCCTGGACATGTGGAAGCCGAGAAGCCCCTGGGAAATGGAGATGGAGAAGAGGAGAGAGCACCACTCGCACCTCGTGCTGGCCGTGCACGGAATCTGTTCAGTGCTCTCCATGCACGGGAGGGAGCTGGGCAGCCACACTGGGCTACAGGGAGGCAGCAAACAGCCAACATGGCGATTTCTCTGAAAAGCAGGCAGAAAGACAGAGACCTCCCATCTGCCTGTCCACTCCCCCAGTGCCTGCAGTAGCTTGGCCTTGGCCAGATTGAAGCCAGGAGGCAGAAACGCCATCCAGGGCTCCCCTGTGGGTGTCAGGGATGCGGTGGCTTGAGCCATCACTGCTGCCTCCCAGGGTGTGCGTCGGCAGGAAGCTGGAATGGGAAGTGGAGTCAGGACTTGAACCCAGGCCCTCCAGCAGCATCTTTTTTTAAAATAAAAATTTATTTATTTATTCATTTTAAAGTCAGAGTAGAGAGAGAAGGAGGCAGAGAGTGAGAGAGAGAGAGAGAGAGAGAGAAAGGTCTTCCATCCGCTGGTTCACTCTCCAATCGGCCGCAATGGCCGGAGCTGCACCGATCCAAAGCCAGGAGCTAGAAGCCTCCTCCCAGTCTCCCATGCGGGTACAGGGGCCCATGAACCTGGGCCATCTTCTACTGCTTTCCCAGGTCATAGCAGAGAGCTGGATGGGAAGATGAGCAGCCAAGACTCGAACTGGCGCCCATATGGGATGCCAGCACTGCAGGCAGCAGCTTTATCTGCTACACCATACCGCCAGCCCCTCCAGCAGCATCTTTTTTATTATTATTCATTTATTTGACAGGTAGAGTTATAGACAGTGAGAGAGAAGGGGACAGAGAGAAAGGTCTTCCTTCTGTTGGTTCACTCCCCAAATGGCCACAGTGGCTGGCACTGCGCCAATCCAAAGCCAGGAGCCAGGTGCTTCCTCCTGGTCTCCCATGCAGGTGCAGGGCCCAAGCACTTGGGCCATCCTCCACTGCCTTCCCGGGCCACAGCAGAGAGATGGACTGGAAGAGGAGCAACCAGAACTATAACCCGGCGCCCATATGGGACGCCAGCGCTGCGGGCAGAGGATTAACCAAGTGCGCCATGGCGCCAGTCCCTCCAGCAGCATCTTAACCACTACACTGAAAGCCCACCTGCGTTTCCGTTCTGACTCACACGGAGTGCTCAGCTTCCTGATAAACTCACCCAGGACACAGGAGCAGTCACACTGGAGGAACCACTCCCTGGCACGTGTCCAATTGCTGCAGCAGAGACAGGAGGGTCTGGGGGCATCACACTGGCCATACCCAAGGCCACATCACACATGATGTCACGTGGTCATGGCTGGAAGGGACCACATCACTCTGGCTGGGACAGCCACTGTACAAGGCAAGGAACACAGCCCTGCCCTGCACCTGGGATAGAGGACACCTGGAACTGTTCCCTGGGCAGCCGATGGCAGGATCCAAAGACAGGCAAGCAGTCTTCAAAAAGTTCATGGAGGGCTGGCACTGTTGGCACAGTGGGTAAAGCCACCATCTGCAGTGCCGGCATCCCACTGGGTGTCAGTTCAAGCCCCGGCTGCTCCATTTCCCATCCTGCTAATGCGCCTGGGAGAGCAGCAGAAAACAGCCCAAGTGTCTGGGCCCCTGCACCCACATAAGAGACCCAGGAGAAGCTCCTGGCTCATGAAAGACCAGCTCCAGCCATTGAGGCCAATTGCACACTGAACCAGTGGATGAAAGACCTCTGTCTCTCTAACTCTGGCTTTCAAGTAAATACATTTTTTAAAAATGTCACATAATGCATATTATGAGAAAACTACGCATGGATTTCCATTTTTTGCACCAACATAAACATCCTGTGTTGGCAAAGCCAAGGCAACTTCAGCTGGCTGACAAGGTCACAGCAGAAGGTCTGTCTCAGCAAGGCGTGAGGACAGCTGCGGTCCTCTTGGTGGTTTTAGGTTTGCTGGGAACTACAAGCTGGAGCTTCCTGGTGGTCCTGCTAATGATTGCTGTGTTCCTAATTTTAGGGAAGAATGCTTAGTCTCATTATCCCCAAAATGTCCATTGCTTTGTAGAATTCTAATCAAATCAAATGCTAGCATAGGAGAAGGGCTGGTGCTTTACGCAAGGTTGAGCTGTTTGTGGAAAAGAATTAAAAGGCAACAGGCTCTCTGGTATATACTTCCCACTAGAATACAGATAAATGTTATTAAAGCTTTAATTCAATATATGCTACAAATACAACAATGGTTAGGATGTCAAAGCTGAAGATTAGATCTAAGTGAACCTTTAGATAAGTACAATAAAGAAGTTAGAATTACAGAAAGAACTGCAAAGAGGGGATACATTTTAAAAAGGGCCTGCTTTAAACATTGGGGCCTCTAGTAAAGATTAGATTAGATTAGGGAGGTAACAGTTTAGCTTCTGTAACCAATTTCCGAATAGCTCGATAGCGCTCCAGGCCTTGGCTTGTGTGGGCAGCCCGTTATCTCACACCTGTCTGTGATAGTAACCCACACTCTGAAAATGCCCTAGAAAATCAAAGAAATTGTCACTAGATGAAAGTGACAACAGACTTGTTATTGCAGGAAGAAAGAATCACTGTGTGACTTACGGTATAAAGATCAGGTCTGGTGCTCGAGAGCCAGAGCCGTGCCATCAGCCTTGCTGCGAGTGTCTCTCATTTCTTCCAGCGCCGACACCTCTCACAGCTTGGGACCCCTAGACTGGCTACAGCTGGTCTCTGGCACTTTCTAAAAACTTTATTTGGGGCTGGCGCTATGGCATAGCAGGTAAAGCCACCACCTGCAGTGCCAGCATCCCATATGGGTGCCAGTTCGAGTCCTGGCTGCTCCACTTCCGATCCAGCTCTCTGCTATCGCCTGGGAGAGCAGCAGAAGATGGCCCAAGTCCTTGGACCCCTGCACCCACGTGGGAGACCCGAAAGAAGCTCCTGGCTCCTGGCTTCAGATCGGCACAGCTCTGGCCATTGTGAACATCTGCGGAGTGAACCAGTGGATGGAAAACCTCTCTCTCTCTCTCTCTCTCTCTCTCTCTCTCTCTCTACCTCTACCTCTACCTCTACCTCTACCTCTACCTCTACTTCTGTCTCTGTGTAACTCTGAATTTCAAATAAATAAATAAAACTTTTTAAAAAATCTTTATTTTAGAGGCAAAGAGACACAAAGAGGAAGAGACAGACACACAAGACTCTCCTCCACTGGTTTGCTCCCCTCAAATGCCCACAACACCCAGGGCTGGGCCAAGGCTAAAACCAGGTGTGGGAACTCACTTCTGATCTCCCCCATGGCTGGCAGGGACCCAACTACTTGAGACATCATGGCTGCCTCGCAGGGTGCGCATCGGCGGGGAGCGGGGGTCAGGAGCAGGAGCTGGGTATTGAACCCAGGCCCAGGCCCTCTGACGTGGGATGCAGGCTTCCTAACAGGTGTTTTAAACAGCAGGTCAGGTGCCCGCCCTGAAACTCACTTTTTCATTCAAGTTCTCCAAGTACTCTTTAACGTATCCTGGATCTTTCTCACAGCAGCCGTCCCCAAGGCTCTGCTACATGCACTGGTCACACAGAGTCAGGGGAAGAGCCAGGTCCTTCCGGGCTGCACACCCAAGGATGTGAGAGAAGGAACCTGGGCGGAGGCAGAGGCGGAGGCGGAGGCGGGGCGGGGTGGGGCGGGGTCCTCAGCTGCCACTGCGCCCTGTTTAATGACAAGCACTCAGCATGTCACCCGCCTGCCACGATAACAGTGGCTGGTGCTTGTTCACCTCTGTGAATGCTTCCTGCTCTGCACCTGGGGTACAGCGGACCCTGCTTCCCCAGAAGTCGAGCTTAGAAGCCAGCTCGCCAGCCAAAGCCCCATTCTGCATCAGAAGAGAACAATGAGACAACGAATGAGGCGGCAGGAAGCCGGCCAGCGGCCCTTCCCTGGGGACGACACAGGCTCTGATAAAGTAAGAGTCCTTGGAAAGCATCACGGTACCCCAGCCGCAGCCCCGGGTGCACAAGCTGTCTGCTCGTTCA